ACACCCTCCTGTGTGCTCACACCACACACACCCTCCTGTGTGCTCACACCACACACACCCTCCTGTGCTTACACCACACACACCCTCCTGTGTGCTCACACCACACACGCCCTCCTGTGTTCACACCACACATGCCCTTCTGTGTGCTCACACCACACACACCCTCCTGTGTGTTCACACCACACCCTCCTGTGCTTACACCACACCCTCCTGTGTGTTCACACCACACACTCCTGTGTTCACACCACACACACCCTCCTGTGTTCACACCACACACGCCCTCCTGTTCTCACACCACACACACCCTCCTGTGCTCACACCACACACACCCTCCTGTGTTCACACCACACACACCCTCCTGTGTTCACACCACACACGCCCTCCTGTTCTCACACCACACACACCCTCCTGTTCTCACACCACACACACCCTCCTGTGTTCACACCACACACGCCCTCCTGTTCTCACACCACACACACCCTCCTGTGTTCACACCACACACACCCTCCTGTGTGTTCACACCACACACACCCTCCTGTTCTCACACCACATACACCCTCCTGTGTTCACACCACATACACCCTCCTGTGTTCACACCACACAGGCAGGATCTACTGACACCTAACAAGGAGTCGATGCTGATCTGAAATCCAGGAGCACCTGAGTCCTCCGTGTCACCTGAGACTGTCAGGGGCACAGGGGCGGCTGGGGTGCACACGGCCCTCAACCTCTTCCCCCCGACCGCGTGTCCCACGTAGGTGCACACGGCAGGTGCAGCTGGGTTTCTGGTCTGCGGCCTCGCACCCGAGGCTGACCACGCCTCTGCAGCCAGTGCTCCCCCTGCGGGGGGAGGGCGCTGCCTCCCTGTGAGTGGGCCTGAGTGTGGGGCCCCAGCCAGGCCAGCACCTGCACTGAGAGCCCTATAAATAAATCAGCCGCATCAATAAATGACTCTGCCCATGGGGGGCCTCTGGGGGGGCGACACTTCCCAAGGGCCCAGAGGGCTCCCAGCCGCCCCCAGCAGCACCTGGGGGTAGCAGCCAGGCCTGCAGTGACCGACCCAAGGGAGACCAGAGCTGCCCCGAGCTCCCGCCACGCAGCCAGTCCTGCCGGGCAGCCTGCGGCCTGACTGCTCTCCCCAGTGCCCTCCAGAGCTGGGTAGGGGGAGCACACTGGGTCCCAGGGCCCACTCAGGGGTGGGAGAGCTGACGGCTCAGGCGGAGCCCCCACGGGGCTTGGCCAGCAGTGCAGGTGCAGGTGCAGGTGCAGGTGGAGGTGCTGGCCCGGCTTGGGGTGCTGCAGTGCCCTGCCTTCCTCCAGGCGGAGCACAAGGGGGCGTGGCCCAGACCTGTTGGAGGGGCCTGTGGCTAACAGGTCCTGGGGGCCGGCCTTGGCCTCTCTGCGCTGGGGGTGGGCGGCCCTGTGTCCACCCGGGGAGCAGGTGCTGGGGATCCCTGCCTGCCCCCAGCAGGGCTCCCAGGGCGGGCGGCTCTGACTCAGCACAGCTCAGGAGCTTGGGGGCCCACAGGACCCGCTGAGCCCCTACCCCGCCCCTGAGGCCAAGGGAGGAGGCGGGAGGGCGTGGCCCAAGGCGGGAGGGCGTGGCCTGAGGCGGGAGGGCGTGGCCCAAGGCGGGAGGGTGTGGCCCGAGGCGGGCTCCCTGCTGTCCCCACACTCCTGCCATGCCAGGGGATGCTGGCCCTGGGGGAGATCACCCAGCGACGAAGGGCCTGGGCGGCAGAGCCAGGGGCTGGGGAGGAGGGGTGAGTGTGGGGGGGCGGAGGCGGGTGGGGCTGCGCGCTCACCTTCGCTGCTGACCCTGCGCCAGCGCTGCCCATGAGCCTGCACCCGGGGGGGGGGCAGTGACCGACCCTGCGGGCAGGGAGGGGTCTCCAGGAACCAGGACGTGTGGAGGGAAAGGGCTGAGGGTCCTGCTCTGGGGACAGCAGGCCCTAGGACAGGCCACGGGGACCGTGGGACGGGGGCTGGGGCGGACGCAGGCCCCTGAGGGAGGTGTTTTCTGGGAGGCAGTGGGGAGGCCACCCCCCACGCGGTCACTTTGTTGGAGCCTCTCAACGCCCTGCAGGGGGCGGGGTCGGCGCCCTCTGGGTCACAGGTGTGGAGCCCTGGGGGCAGTCCCAGGCTGGCCCAGGGTCTCAGCCCCTCCCTCAGGCTCCCCCTGGTGGAGGATGGGAGCGTGGCCGGGAGGCTCCCCGAGGTGTACAAGGTGCTGTCGCTGGTCAGAACCCTGGCCGCCCCTGGGGTAAGGGACTGATGTCCGACTTCAGGGATCTCCATGCAGGCCGGCCGGCCTGAGAGTTCCCAGCCCTTGTGTGGGGCGGGGCCTCCCTGCCAGGCTCCTCTGGCCCAGCCCAGCCACCGACCCACTGCTCGCTGCCCGGGCCACGACCCTCACCTGGGCAGAGAGGAGGCGCGTGGAGGGGAAGAACCGTGGGCGCCTCCCTGATGGACACGGGGCCAGAGCCGCTGCAGGAGGGGTGTTTCATGACCGACAGTTTGGCATCCGGGTGCCGATGTGTGGAGCGCGCAGGGGGACAGCCCCGGTGGCTCCAGCACAGCCCAGCCTGCCTGGGTCCCAGCCACACCCCTCCCCTCTCTCCTGCCACCTGGGGGGCCCTTGGTGTCCCTGGAGAACGGGGCGTGGGGGCGGCTGGGGCGGAGACCGTTTCCTTGGGGATGGTGGCTGGGGGCCCACTGGGGAGACGGGCAGAGCGCCGAGGCCAGGTGCCACCGCTGGGCCCTGGCACAGCTGCAGGGTCAGGGCCGCCGCCCCTACCCGGCTCCACTGGGGACTGAGGACAGCACAGCACCGCCGAGCTGCTATCGACCGGGCCAGGCCTGGGTCAGCAGATCCGTCCCATTGATTAGATGGACGCTGGCCTGGCGGGGCCTGGGGGCAGCCTGTGCTTCGGGGCCTGCAGGGAGAGCGCGGGTTCAGAGCAGTCTTCCCGTCCCACCCCGCAGGGCACCTGGGGCCCAGGGGTCTCTGCCGCTGCCGGGGTCAGTGGGCAGGGCTGAGAGTGGAGGCTGGGCAGGCCAGGCTCCGCCCCCCACCCCCGGGCGCTGGCTGCTGTGGGCTGCCCGCCGGCCCCCACCCCTGGGCGCTGGCTGCTGTGGGCTGCCCGCCAGCCTCCGATCGATGCGGGAGGGGCCTGCGGCTCGGCCCCCATGGACCTCGCCGGCTTCGCTCCCTGCTAATGAATTGGGCTTTGATCCGTCAGACCGCGGCCTCCACCTGCCTGCCTGGATCCGGAGCGGGGTGGGCCTAGCGGGGCAGGGTGGGCCGGCGGCCTTGTCCTGCAGCCCCTGGCTGCCTGGCCTCTGGCTGCCTGGCCTCTGGCTGGGAGCTGCAGCCCTGGGAGTGGAGCCCCCAGCCCCCTTGTGCTTATCACCTTGGCAACGGGACCCCACCTGGGCTGTGGCTCCCTGAGAGCCCCTCCTCCCAGCCCGGCCTCCCTCCTTCCTCCTTGGCTGTGGCTACTCCCAGGGGAGGGGGGCCTGGCCTGGGGGTCCCCTGGCCACTGCCCCAGCTCCTCCCACAGCATCACCCCACCCCCACAGCTGCAGCCACCCTCCTGGGGGTCAGGCCCCAACCCCCCGTGGAGACTCAGGAGCCCCTGACCCCGAGTGGGTGAGCGAGCACCCCAGGGGGCAGCGCCGTGGGGAGCGGCTGGGCAGGGCACAGGCCTGTCCCCTCATCCCCTGGTCACTCACTCACCCATGGTCATCACCACTGTGTCACTCCCCTAGCCAGCACCTCGGCCAGGCCTTGTACCACCGCCGGTGACACCACAGCGGCCGGCACACACCTCACCTCCCGTCCACACTGCTGGCCACCTCGGTCTGCACTCCTGGACAGGGCCAGGCTGTGGGGCGGGTGGGGGCGGGGACGGCCCGGGCCGCGGGCAGGGGCCGCAGTGGTTAACGGTTAACGGCCGCTGTCGGACTGTGCGTCTCCGCCGGCAGCCGCGCGGTACCAAGGCTAATGGATTTTTGAGGCCAGATTGATTTTTCATTAATTTGGTAAAAATCTTTTTCCTCTCCCCTATAATTCTGTCTTAAAGCGCTCCCCCGACAGCTCGATAAGTCACTCTGCCTTAGTGCAGGTCTGGCTCACCCTCGGGCGGGGAGGGGCCCAGCCGCTGCCAATCAGTGCAGGCCCGTGGCCCAGTGGCAGAGGCTGGCTCTGGGCAGCCCTGGTGACCCCGCCCGAGTGGAACCAGCCTGGGTGGGGAGCTGCTGGGCCTCTCTGCCCCAGGTCCTGCAGCCGCAGCCCGGACTCAGCGGCCGCTCCCCGCCTCGCTTCACCCAACCCTGGTCCCACCTCCCCCGCTCCTGCCCCTGCTGCCGTGGGGGGTCCCCACCTGTAGAACCCCCCCCCCCAGGGCTCCTAGGCCCACCGCCCTCACCAGGGCTGGGTGACCCGGGTGTCACTCCGGTGCCAGCCCCAGAGCCCGTGTCCAGCGGCTTCCTGGACAATGTGCCCTCGGCAATGCCGGGGTCCCTGGACGGCCAGCACCACCCAGGCCCCTCCCTCCCGCTCGGCAGCCAGGGAGCTTGGTAGCAGGGTGGGGCGACACTGGGGAGGGGCCCTTGTGCCATTGCATGATGGACTGGCTGTGGGCCCGTGTTCAGATGGGGGAGGGAGGGCAGCAACTCCGTGGGCCTCTGCCCCGGGAGACCCAGGATCTCCGGTTACGGCGCCCGAGCCCCGGTGGGGACGCTCGGGCCACACTGGGCACCTCCCCACACAGAAGCCCGGGCTCCACCGGGCACCTCTGCCCTCCCTGCCTGGCTTTGGCCCCACCCACGGGGGGCCGGGTCTGGGTGGTGCTTGGGGTGCTCCTGTCCACCCAGCGCCTGCCGGGGGACGCTCCAACCCCAGACTGGCCAGATGGTCGCGGCCTTTGGGCCTGGTGTCCCCTCCTGGATGGCAGCTTCAGGCCCGGATCCCTCCTGCCCCCTCACGCCTGGAGCAGGCAGGCGGCCGCCGTGTGGGCCCACCCGGGAAACCAGGGCCAGAGCCGCTGCTCGCTCTCCCTGCCCGGGCACTGGGCTGGCCCCGACCGCCTGGCCAGGCAGCAGCAGCTCCAGGCGGCCCCGGCCCGCCGGCTGCCCGCCTTCCCTGGGGACCTAGCCCAGGCCCCCTTTACGGGACAACTGCACTGGACACCCAGCCCTGGCCCTGAGGCGGCCTCAGCGGCCCATGGGCACTGCAGCTGCCCGGGGCGCCCGGGTATGGGAGTGGGCTGCACCCTTCTCCCCTTCCCCGACAGGGCAGGGCTGGCTGGGCAGCAGCACGGGGACGCGGGGGCGGGAGGCCCTCCCACCCTGGACCCCACCTCACACCTGCCCCGCCCCGCCTGCCGCGCCCCCGCCCGCGCTTCCTCTCCCACATTAATCTCCGTCTGTTCTGCTGACCCAAGCTAAACGGAGCTCGCTTCTCCCTCCCGGCAGTTTTCTGTCGGCAAAGCAAAAAGGACAGCGGCCTCGCTCCCCCGCCGCCGCCGCCCAGCCCTCCCCGGCCCACGGCACCTCCCCGTCCCCCAGGGCCCTGGCTCGGAGGGGACCCCTGCTCCCGCAAGGCGCACATCTGCCCTGGGATTCCAGGGGCCCTGGGCAAACCGGCCTGGTCCTTGCCTGTGACCCACAGTGACAGGGACATGGCCCGGCCAGGCCCGTGCGGGCTCCGGCGCCAGGGCCGGGTGGGCACCCCGCTCTCCTGAGAGCCGCCCATCCAGGAAGGCCTTGGCCAGGCAGGCTCTTGTGGCCAAGTCCCCAGGGGACACCAAGCATGCTCAGTGCGGCCCCAGGGCTGGGCAGGCTCCTGGCAGGACGCAGGCTGACGCTGCTTCCACAGCCGCTCCGCCATCTGGGTGGAGGGGCGACGCTGGGCAGCTGGACAGGCAGACCCCTCCCCATGGCCAGCTGCCCTGTGTGGGGGAGGACAGGGTCTGGGACAAGCCCTGGTGGCAGGGGCGGCCCCGAGGGACGGAGGCACAGGGAAAGCGGCCTGTGGGCTGGCGGGTGTGACAGGCAGGAAGCCGAGCACAGCCCGGGGAGTCCAGGCCTGGGGCGCCCGGGACGGGAGGCAGCCGCACTCATCAGGGTCTGCTGACACGGGGCTTCTCCCAGGAGGGCGGAGGTGCACCTGGCCCCCCACCCCAGGCACAGACCCTCACCCAGAGGCGAGGACAAGGCGGCAGGGGTCTCAGGCTGCTCCTCCCCAACCGGGGCTGCCTGAGGATCGGCCTTGATCGGGCAGCAGCTGCCCCCTGGTGGCCAGCCTTGCCCCTCGCTGCACCTGCAGGGCCCGGCTCACTGCCCTCCCTGCCCCTCCTTGGGAGCCCCACCCCAGCCCCTCCCTCCAGCTGCACGCAGGCCTGGACTAGGACAGCCAGCGCCCCCCGTGGTGCAGCAGGTGCAGGTCGGGGAGCCCCTGTGCCCACCGCAGGTGCAAGGGAATGAGACAGCCGGGGGCTGGAGCAGCGGCCCTGGCATTCGGGGTAGACCCGCAGGGTGGAGCAAAGCTGCCCCACGCCCCACCCACCCATTTCCCCGGCAGAAGGGGGGACAAGCGAGGACGAGGGGACTGCAGGGAAGGGCCCCAGTGGGGTCCCTGAGCAGGGGGGCTGGCACCGTGGACACCCCTGGCTCTGTGAGGGAGCCTGGAGCTTGGCTTGGCAGGGCTGGGGCCTGTGGGTCTGTGCCCAGGGCAGCTCAGGGTACAGGGGTCCCGCGGGATGGGTGGACAGGGCAGAGTGTGGGGGAGGAGGCTCCCACCCCGGGGTGTGGGTGAGGCGGCCGCAGCCCCGGCACCGCACTCAGAGCCTCGTGCACCGTGGTGTTTAATGGTGGTCCTGGGGGGGGGGGCGCCGGTCACAGCTGCCCCGGGCGCTCAGGGCTGGGCACCGCAGCCTCCGTGGCGGCCCGGGGCACGGCGGGGCCTCGGGTCTTGCCCCCCTTGCCCGTGCGGCTCCAGCCGAGGAGGCGCCGGGGGCTGGGCGGCGCTGGGGCCGGCTCTCCACCACGCTGCCGCTGGCTCCTCAGGGGCAGGGCTGGCCGCCGGTCCCCCTGCTGGGACAGACACACGCTGGTCAGCTCAGCTGGCCGGGCAGGCTGTGGGTCTGCTGGGGGCTCTGGTGGGGACAGCCGGGCAGTGGGATGGGCACAGCTGTGTGGGGGGTGAAGCCCAGGGAGGGGCTGTGCTGCCCGAAAGCCAAGCCGCGAGGGCCACTCCGCGAGGGCCACCCCGATGAGGGCCACCCCGGCGGGGCACCTGCAGCTCTGGCTCCCGCAGGACAAGGAGGGCGGGGACCAGCCCCTGGCTCACCGCGGCAGGCAGTGTGGGGCCAGGCAGCAGCGACACCACCTGCAGGCTGGCGCCGGCCTCGCCGGCCGCCCTCAGCTGCGCCACCACCTCCGTGTGCTTCCACCACCGGCACGGCTGCCCGTTCACCGACACGATGTAGTCGCCCTCCTTCAGGCCGGCCTCCTGCGGGCAGAGAGAGCCATGAGCCGGAGTGCGCGCCTTGCCCCAGCCCGGGCCGCGGGGCCCCTTACCGCAGCCCGGCCCCCGGGGGCCACCGCCGCGACGAGCACCGGCGAGTCTCCCCGCAGCGTGAGGCCGAATCCGTCCTCTCCGCGGGTCAGGTGCACGGGCCCCACCAGCCGCCACCGGTTCCTAGCCGAGAACACGGACAGGGGTCCCTAGGGGGTGGGCGGTCAGCCATCAGAGGCCTGGCTGCGCCGCACCCCCCAAACTGGCACAGCTGGGCCTGGAGCGCTGCGAGGGTGGGGCCACGGGAGGCGGGCCCACGCTGGGAGGCGGTGCCGTGGGGGCGGGGCCATGGTCGGGGTGGGGCCGAAGGGGCGTGGTCACAGGGAGGTGGTGCCGTGGGCGGGGCCATGGTGGGAGGCGGGTCGTGTGGGCGGGGCACGGGAGGCGGCCGCCGGGTGGGCTCACCAGCCGGTGGAAGAGGTCAGTTCCCTTGCCCCCCGTCAGGCTGGGCGTCCTGACCTCTGGCTTCTGCTGGGTCTTAGCTGAAAGACGAGGCGGAGCTAACTCAGGCCTGGATTCAGCTGGGGGAGCCCCTCCGAGGCGGCCTGCCCTGCCCACGGACCCATCCCGGTCCCTCCCCACGGTCCGCCAGGCTGCCCCCATGGTGCCGAGGCGCGTGTGGGATTCCGTACGAGCGGCGACCTGCACCTCCGCGCGGCGGAACTGGGACCCCTCCCAGAGACCGCCAGGCCTGCAGCTCCGGGAGCACCGGTGCAGGCGCACCCCCCCCCCCAGGGTCGCACCCCCCAGCCCTGGCTGCTCACGCTGGATGTCGGGGGCCTCGGCCACCTCGGAGAAGTCGTCCTCGCGGTCGAGCTGCGAGTAGCGGGCCAGCGAGCGCCGCAGGGCGCGGGCCACGGCCGCCTGCAGCAGGTCCACCTGGCGCAGCACCCGGCAGAGCGCGTGCAGCCGCAGGGCCTCCTCCTGGCCCAGGATGGAGCGCTTCAGGTGAGCCTTGGCTGCGCGGGGGCAGAGCGCCGTCACACGCGGAGCCCGGGCCCGCCCTCTGGGCTCAGCGCGGCTCGGGGACCCGGGGCGCAACCCCCTCACCCAGCCGCCGGCGTTCCTCGGGCTCCGCGGGGAACACCTGCTCGCTGGACGGGGGCGATCCGGCGGCGGCCGCTGTGGGCAGAGCGGCCGTGAGCCCGGGACCGGGCTCTGCCTGCAGGCGGGCGCGCGGGCGCACGGGCGGGCACTCACGGGCGCCGTCGCAGAGGCCCGCGGCCGCGTGGTAGTGGGCCAGCGCGCGGAAGTGCTCGGCCTTGACCTGCACCAGCGCAGTCCACGAGGCGGGGATGCAGCTGTGGGCCGGCGGCTGGGCCATGGCCGCCTGTACGCGCCGGTACTCGGCCGCCACCTGTCGACAGGCAAGTGGTGGGGTCCAGGCGGCCGCAAGGCCCGGGCCTCCCTGCCGTGCTCCCACCCCCCGGAAGCGACGCTGACCCCGGGCCCCTGACCGGCCTCACCTGGGCGGCCTCCTGCGCCAGGCAGTCGTGGGCGGCCGCGGGGGTGAGCGAGAGGCCCTCGAAGGCGCACTCCTGGGCCTGGGCGGCCATGAGGCGCTCCAGCGCGCAGAGGGAGGCCGCGCTCATGTCCGGGCTGGGCGCCTGCGAGAAGTTCCCGCTCAGGAAGCAGAAGGCGCCTGCGGAGGGAGACGGCGCTCACAGGGGCGCGCCCGCGGCCGCCCGCCGCGCCTGGCCCCGGGGGCTGCCTCACCAGCCGCGCTCTGGAAGGCCCGGCCGGCCAGCCTGGCGCCCTCGGCGCAGCGGCGGTCCTGCCGGGCGGCGATCTGCGAGTGCAGAGCGCCCAGGTTGAACAGCACGCTGCCCTTCTCGAAGGCCAGCGCCCGCTGCTGCGCCGGGAGCCCCGTGAGCGCGTCGTACCTGCGGGGGAGGGGCAGGTCAGGCCGCGCCCCCTCCGGCCAGCGGGGGCCCTCCCAGCGGCCAGCGCTCACCAGTGGAAGACCGGCCCCAGGCTCCGGGCCGGCGCGGAGAAGCGGGCGTCCAGGAAGCAGAGCTGATTGTAGTAGGCCGCGAGCAGCTCCAGGCCGGCCTCGTCCCGGCTGGGGGTCCGCATGGCCTGCGGGGCGGGAGCCCTCCACTCTCACCCACCCCGGGAGCCTGGGCGAGGCCATGCAGGGACCCAGGGCCCGGCACCAGAGCCTCCGAGAGGGGAGAGGGCGCACGCTGTACCCCCGCGGCCCCGCCCAGACACAGGGCCCCGCCCAGCTGAGCCCCCCGCCCGCACCCAGGGCCGCCCACCTGCCGCAGGCCCTCCAGCTCCCTGATCTCAGCCTCATAGGAAGCCCCATCCTCTCCAAAATGCGCAGAGATCAGCTCCTGGGGGGAGGGACAGGTGTGGGCACAGAGCCAGGTGGCTGGTGGGGCGGGGTCACAGAGCAGCGGTGCCCCAGCCCCCCTCCCCGGGGCAGAAGTGGGGCTGGGACTCACACACGCTCCCCTAGGAATCCCCACAGCCACCGGGCGGTAGGTGCCGCCTGAAGGCACGCAGGGGGCCACTTTCCCCGCAGGACATGGCCCAGTCCCAAGCCCCTGCAGGATCCCTGGGAGCCTGCGGTTTTCACCTGGGCTGGCGTGAGCCAGAGACCCTCATGGGGAGAGCCCAGTGGGGCTTCCAGCGGGCCCAGGCCAGTGACCCCCATTCCAGGGCAGGCACGCATCCAAGCCCTGGGCGTGGGCACCAACACACTGGCCGTTTCTGCCACAACCCTGGGGGGCCCAGGTCAGCCCTCCCCGCTCCAGGTCTCATCTGCTCAAGGGGAGTCTCAGGGCAGGTGAGGGCCCCCAGCCCCCCGGGGCCCAGGGCAGGGTAGGGCAGGGTTCCCCAGGGCCCCCAGAGGGCAGGGCAGGGCTCCCCCTGGGGCCCCCAGAGCTCAGGGCAGGACAGGGTCCCCCAGAGCTCAGGGCAGAGCAGGGCCCCCTCTAGGGCCCCCCCAGCCCAGGGCTGCTCCTACCTGCAGGGGCGTGGCCCAGTCCAGTTCCTTGGTCTCCTTCAGGCCCAGGGGGATCATGGGGGCAGTGACGCCATCACTAGGACCAAAAGCGTGGACCCTGCACCCTAAGGCCGGACGTCTGTGCCTGGACGCCGAAACCTCCCTGAGCACTGGGGGTCGCGCCCCGGCCCCCCCACTTGGCCCCGCCCCCACTCAGCCCCACCCCTCCCTCCCCTCGGGCCCCGCCCCAGCCCCGCCCCACACGGCCGCGCACCTGCCAGGCTGGGCCTCGTCGGGGCCGCCGAGCTCCTGCAGCTCCTCCTGCAGCAGCTGCAGGCTGGAGTTGACGCGGCCGAGCTCCAGGGCCACCGTCTCCCTGACCTGGCTGTTGCTGGTGGCTCTGTGGGGTCGGGAGCCCCAGCCCCAGAGCCGACCCGTGAGCGGGGCCCACCAGGCCTCCTTCCTGGGGGCTGTGCGCCTCCCGAGCCCCCCGTGGTGCCCCCCCCGTGGCACCGCAGGTCTGGGCAGGGCTCCTCCAGTGCCCCGCAGCAGCTCAAAGACGACCGCCCCAGCGGGGCCCGGGGCCGTGTGGAGGCCAAGGCAGGGCCCTGGGCCCAGAGAGGCCCCCAGCCTCCCCCACGCAGCCCAGGAAGTGGCACGGCCCCATGGGCCAGCGCGGGAGCCGAGTGCCGGCCATCTGCCCGCCCCCCTCTGCCCGCTGAGCCGCTGGGCGGCCCGTGCCTGGCTCACCGCTGGCTCACCGGTAGAGGTTCTCGGCGCCCGCGCGCATCTGCAGCTCCTTCTCCATCTGCTGCCGGATCCGGGCCCTGTAGCTCTGCAGCCGGCTGCGCCGCGCCTGCGCCGGGGACTCACAGCCCTGCAGGGGCCACAGAGCCCAGCGTCACAGCGCACCCGCAGGCCGCCCTGGGAGCCCGGCTGTCCGGCCCAGCCAGGCCAGGGCAGGGGGTGCACAGCCCTGGGAGACCCACAGAACCCCACAGACCCAGCCCCTGGACACGCAGCTCAGGGTCCAGTGCCGCCCTCAGCCGCAGAGCCGCCCACACCCTCCGACCCCTTAGTCTGGCCCAGCCCCTCTGGGCTGTGGTCGCCCGCTTTCTCACATTAGCCTCTGTCCACAGCCCGCCTGGCAAGGCAAGGTGCGCCTCCTCCAGGAAGCCCACCTTTCCTGCAGGCCCTTCTGAGGCCCAGGGCAAGGCCCTCCCACAGGTGGCTGTGGCTCTGCAGCCCAGGCACCTGGCCAGGTCTGGCTCTAGGGCAGTGCCCTCAGGGCCTGCAGGCGGCAGGTGCACAGCCCTGAGCTGGCCGTGAGCCCGGGCCAGCCCTGAAGGCACTCGGGCCCCTCCTGCGCTTCCTCCCAGCACTGCTGGGCGCCCGAGGTGGCGGAGCCTCACCTGAGCCAGCCAGGGTCTCCCCAGCCAGGTCACCAGCCAGCCCACGGCTGGCCTTGTACGGGGAGACGTGGGCTCACGGCTGGTTCAGGCCAGTTCAGACCCCCGGGCTCGGCCCCTCCCTGCAGGACCTCCCAGGGGCCCCACGGAAGCTCCTGTGCCGCCACCACCTCGGACCATGGCCCGAGCCGACCTCCAGGGCCAGCTCAAGAGGCGTGTCAGTCAGGGAAGGCTTCCCGGAGGAGGGCGCTGGGCTGGGCTGTGAAGGGCAGGGGCCTCCAGTCACCCTCTGGTCCCAGAGCAGACCTACCCGGGCAGACAGCGTGGACAAGGCCATGCCCAGCGCCCGCCCGCGCAGAAGGGGGCAGCCTGTCCTCGGGCGGGGCCGCCCCGGGGAGAGGGGCCGTCACAGCCAAGGCTATTGGCCCCAGCCCAGCGGTCCTGCTGCAGTTCCTGTGGGTTCCAGGGGCTCGGGCCACCAGCCCCGCCGAGACGGGCGCTGGGCATGGCCCCGGCCACAGGGCTGCCCTCCTGGGCGCGGCGGCCACTGTCCCTCCCCTCCCTGCAGGCACCAACCGGCCTGAGTGGCCCCTGCAGGAGCGGGGGCCCCTGACACCACAGTGCCCGTCCCTGCCCTGCACTGGGAGAGGACAGATGGACCATGGTCCCCGGGTGTCCCCACAGGGGTGTGTGTGTGTGGACAACACGGACACAAACACGCCACACCCCTGCTGCTCGGCCCAGGCCCAGCCCCAGCGCAGGGACCGCCGGGCAGCCGGCAGGAAAGTGTGGGCGGAGGTCAGGCAGCACCAGCCCCAGCCCCCACCCCAGCCCGGTCGGCTCTGGCCAGAGCCCTGCCCCCGCAGGCCCCGGCCCTGAGGCCCGCCCAAGGCAGAGGGAGCCTGGGGCGGTGGAAACCCTCTCTCTGCCACCACGCGGGAGGGGACAGGGCATGGGTGTGGCCACGGGGGTCCCGGGGGTGCAGTGGCTGTGGGATCCCCCACAGGGCGGGTGTCTCGGGTTCCTGAGTTCCTCCAGGCAGGTCCCACTCTCGCAGCCTGGCCTAGCTGGGCCACGTCTGGAGTTTCTCAGTTTAAACATTTATTTATTTATTTGAAAGTGTGGAGAGAGAGAGAGAGAGGTCCTCCGTCCACCGGCTTACTCCCTAAATGCCCCCACAGCAGGGGCTGGGCCAGGCTGGAGCGAGGTGCCTGGGAGTCCACAGCCGGGTCTCCCACGTGGGTGCAGGAGCCAGGCACTGGGCCGTCTGCTGCTGCCCAGGGGCATCAGCAGGGGCGAGGCCAGGAGCAGAGCCGCGTAACCCGCTGTGCCCCAGTGCCTGTCCCCGACCCAAGAATCTGTGTGCCCAGGGAGCGCTGGCGTGCAGTCAGGCGGAGGAACCTTGGACTGACCTGCTGGTGACTGCAGACCCCCCGGGGGCCACAGCCCATCGCCCCGGTCTGCGGGGACTGCCTGGGCTGAGCCACCTCACCCAGGGCCCCCGGCCGGCCTGCCCGCCCGGTCATCCCAGGGTGTGGTCAGGACGCAGCGGCCAGCGAAGCCACTGCAGACGGCTCCTGCCCCGTGTCCAGGCTGGCAACCAGCACGGGGCACGGCCAGCGCTCCCCCTGCCGGCCACCCGCAGCCGTGGCGGCCGCCGAGCGGAGACGCACCTGTGGCGCACAGGGACTGGGCCCTCGGGGGCTCTGGTCAGCACCGCCTGGCCACTTGCGTGCCTGCAGCCCAAGCCCCGGCTGACGCCCTCCCAGAAGACCGGAGCCCCAGACAAGGAAGCTGACCGGAGCCAGCCCAGGGGCCCGGCACAGCCCGACGTCCTGGGACTGCGCGCGACCGAGAGCCCCCGGGCCGGGGCGGCGTCTCCCGGGGCCGCGCGGCAAGCAAGCAGCGGACGCTGTCCCAGGCGGCCTCAACAGGTCTCCGCCCCAGCACACACACCGGCGTCCGGGCTACGGGCTTGGGAGGGTCGGCGAGGAGGCGCGGGGACCAACAGCCCAGCTGCGGTGACCCCACGGGACACCCAGCTCCGGGGGGGGGGGGGGCAGGGCGCGGCTCAACGCCCGGGGAGCGGGTCGGGCCGGGTCACAGGCCTGAGCCCACACCTGCCCGAGGGCTGTGGCTCCCAACAGGGAGGCCGCCGGGCCTCAGCTTCCCGCAGCGCCAAGGCCAGGACCGAGAGACCTACCCGGGGGGGAAAGGGTGGGTCCGGGACCCCCACCCAGTCCCCAAGCCCACCTGGCCGCCGCTGCCGGCCGCCTGCAGCCGGCCGATGTCTTCGCCGGCGCCAGGGCCTTCCGGCTTCTCCTCCAGGATCATCGCCGCTCCCGGGAGCCGGTCCCGCTTTCGGAGACCCGCACCCGGCCGCAGCCACACGCGCCGCGGACAGAGCTCTCCCCGGGAGCGGGCGGCTCCGGCGTGCGAAACTTGCCTTTGCCCAATCGGTGGCGGCCGCCGCTTGACGGACGGCAATACCGACCAACCAGAGAACAAAAGAGGCGGGCTCCCGGAGGCCAGCCCCCATCCCGCTCGGCCCGCGGAGTCCCGGGGAACTCGGTTACCCTGGCAACCGCGGACACTGCGCAGGCGCCGCGGGACAGGGAAACCCCGCGTCGCGGTGGGCGCGGAGGTCGGGTCCCGGCCGCTGGCGCCTGTGCGGGACGTCTCGCCGTCGCCCCGGCAACGGGACCCTCTAGGGGACGGTGAGCGGTGGGGACTTAAAACGGTTTTGTCGGCGGACAATGCCTGCTTTCTTTAGGGCGCGCCGCGCGCAGTGAGGCTTCCAGAACCTTCCATAGCCGCCCCTGCGCGCCCGGGCCTCTGATCGCTGGGGCCTGCGGGTCCCGCTCGGGTCCTGCGGGGGCGCTCGGGGGCGCGGTGCGGGCGGCCAGACCCGGCCGAGCGGGCAGGCCCCGACCATGGCCCGCCCGCGTCCGAGCCCCGCGGGCTCGCAGGCCTCCCGCACGGCTCTCTCCTCACGCCCCCTGGCCAGGGCGCATCCTTCCCCGGTGGCCTTGGGGGCCCCTTGCACCCTCCGCCTGACTCGCACCGGCCGCGAGGGACCCTCGGCCAGCGCCCCATGCCGCCTGTGGTCCAGGCGCCGCCGCCTTTGTGCGGGGCTTCCACGCGGGTCGTCTCGGCCCTCTGTGCCCGCGCGGAGACCCCAGCGCTCTCAGCAGCCCTCAGGGTCGCCCGTGTGCCCAGGAGGCCTGGGCAGTGCCTGGGAGATGTGACGGGGGTGACCAGGTTGGGCCGGGGGGCGCGCTGGCAGCTGGCCGCTGGCCCCTGGGCCGGCAGGACCCCCGGGTTTCAAGCATCTGCGGATTCCTTTGGATGAGCCCCGCCACCATGGCTGACCCTAGGCTGACCCCTGGACGCGGGGACACGACCGGGCCAGAGTGTGTGGCCCGAGGGGCGCTCCTGGGCGGCTGGGGCAGCCTGTAGGGGGGGACCGTGTGGCCCAGCAGGTGGACAGGGCGACCTGCGGTCTGAGCGCGCTGGGAGGAGACTCCAACGGCGGGTAGGAGGCGCGGGCCGCGCGCCTGAAAAGTGCTGGCCGATCGGGCCGCGCCAGCCCCCTGCCCCTGCACTGACCTGGGCCCTGGGGGCTTCAGGTAGCCAGGTCTGTCCCTCGGCCACCAGGGCTGCTGCCCGGGACGCGCGCATTCCAGATCCCGCTTTGGGTGCAGCTTCCTGCTGGGAGGTGCGTGGGCGGCAGCCGAGCGTGGCCGGCGGTGTTGCACCCACGTGGGAGAGCCGGCTGGTGGCGCCCAGCCCCTGGCTGTTGTGGGCATCTGGGGCGTGAAGGTCAGTTGGGAGATTCTCTGTCGCTCTGCCTTCCACATAATAAATAAATCCGTAAGAGGAAGAAGGCAAGCAACACCCCCGGGGCAGGAGGGGCAGCTGCGGGGTGGGCAGTCCTGTGAACCCCGCTAGGCTGCCGCTGGGGGGCTGGGGCTGCTGCTGGGCCGTGCACGGGACCCCGCGATGCCAGTGCACTCGCCGCTGGCTTCTTAGCAAACCACCACCCACAAGTCCCAGTGAAACTGCTCGGGATCCGGAGCCCTCTCCCAGTAGGGGCTGAGTTAACAGGCACTTAAGTCGCCTAAAAGGGAAGTGGAGAGAGGAGCTGAGCGAGGGCTTCAGTGGGAAGCCTGTGCCTGTGCCTGTGCCTGTGCCTGTGCCGTGGGGCACCACAGGAGGTTTAGCCCCGGGGTTCCGAAGCTTCTGGGCTGGGGGAGCCACTCCCCTCAATGCTGCGTCCCACAGCGGCGCTGGTCCCTGTCTCGGCCGCTCCACTTCTGATCCAGCTCCCTGCTCGTGACCTGGGAAGGCAGTGGAGGATGGCCCAAGTCCTTGGAACCCTGCACCCAGGAGCCTGGCCCAGCCCCCAGCTGTTGCGGCCATTTGGGGAGTGAACCAGCAGATGGAAGACCTCTCTCTCTCTTCCTCTGCTTCTCCCTCTCTGTAGCTCACCTCTCAAATACATAAATAAATACATTAAAAAAGTAGGGGCCAGCGTTGTGCTGTGGCCGGTAAAGCCGCCACCTGCAACACCACACCCCATATGAGAGCTGCCCGGGGCCCAGCCGCTCCACTTGCGATCCAGCTCCCTACGAAAGCTCGATGGAGGCAGCGGAAGACGCCACACACGGGAGACTTGGGCGGAGTTCTGGGCTCCTGGCTTCGGATCAGCTCAGCCCTGGCCTTGCTGCCATTTGGGGAGTGAACCGTGGAAGACCTCTGTCTCTACCTCTGCCTTTCAAACGAGTAAATAAATAAAGGATTGCACCGCGTGTGACAGACGAGGAGTTAGTGCCCTGAATGGAAGGGCGTCTAGAATGGATTTTGAAGCGAAGCTAAGTAGGAAAAACGGGCACCGGCGGCCAGCAGCCCAGGCCCAGCCAGGAGAGCAGACGCCACCAGCACTTCCGAGGCCGGAATGTGGGGGCCCCGAGCTGGCCGGGCGGCAAAACGCGGGGTCCACACTGCACCACCGCTGCTGCCAGAGGCCCGGGCTTGCCCCTCCTCCCTCCCCCAAGTGCCCCGGGGCCAGGCCTCCAGCCTCCCTGTGGAGGAACTGCTGGCTACCCGGCCCTGGTGGAGACGGTAGCCCAGGGCAACAGCCACTTGTACTGGAAAGGAGCAGCCCACAAAACCGAAAATGCAGGTGGCCGACAGACACGCAGGAGCATGCGTGAACACACGTGAACGCGCACGTAAACTGCACACACATGGACACTGCGTGCAGACACACTGGTGTACACGCGTGTACACACAGGCACGCGTGCACGCACACCCGCACACGTGTGCACCCACGCAGTGCATGCACGTGTGTGCACTCTCCCGCACTGCCAGGCCCCCAGGAAGCCTTGCTAAGTCAGCAGCCGGCCTGACATTGGGAGGCCGCCTCCTGGAGGCCAGGCCCCTGCTACTATTCATTTATTTACTGAGAGGCAGGCAGACGGCCCGTGGGCGGCTCACTCCCTAAGTGGCCGCGATGTCAGGGCTGGGCCAGGAGCTGGGACTCCACCCCCACCCCCACCCCCCACCCCGTCTCCCGGGTGGCGGCCGTGATTGAAGCTGGAGCCAGGGTTCCCGCCCAGGGAGCCCCCGTGGGATGCCCGCTCCACCGGCCCCACCGTTAAGTACTTTTTAAAAAATTTGTGGTTGCCTTGAGGAAGAGAGAGGGAGCGAATGAGGCCGCCCCGTCTCTGGGCCGGGCGCGGAATTCGATCCAGGTATCCCAGCAGGGAGCAGGAACGCGTTCCCAGGTCCCGGTCGGGGGCGGGGGTCGCGGGGGTCTCGGCCTGCACACAGGAGCCTCGGGAAGCCGGCGGCAGGGAAATGGCAGGGCACAGGGCGAGGCACCCCCGCGCTCGCGCTCCGGCCTCCGGGACCCGCCTGGGTCTCTGTGCGGGACAGGGCCCCCGCAGCCTGCGCAGGCTCTCGGACGGCACTGCGCAAGCGCGGGTCTGGGGGCGCGGCCGCCTCCCAGCTGGGCGCAGCCGGGCCCCCAGTCGAGCCCCCAGCCCCAGAGGAATCGCCCGGCGCCGCGCCTCGCCCGCGCCGCTCCCCCACCTGCGGCACGGGATGGCCCAGGAGGGCCAGTGCCGAGCCCAGCACAGCCAGGACGGGTCGCTTTCCCGGCCTCCCTTCCCGGGGGCGCCGGGAACTCGGGCGTGGGCTGTCGGGGTCGAGCTGCGGTCAGAGCGCGGCCCGGAGTCGCCCCGTTGGCTTGCAGGTGCACTTCCGTAGTGGGAGGGGCCTGCAGGCAGAGCCCTCACCTGGCGCTGCCGGGGTGCCTGCGTGCAGGTGGAGCCCGCCCACCGCGAGCTGACGGGCCAGCTGCCCTCCTGCGCGCGTCCTCGAGGGTGTGTGGGGCGGCACCCAGGGACCCGGGGCCGGAGTCAGCGGAGGCGATGCTTGTCACACGGCCCACAGGTGACAACCATCCAGCCCCTTCAGCAAAGCGCGCACGTGGCTGCCCCCCTCCCAGCCACACGCGGTCCCAGAGGAGGGACAGGCGTGGGTATTATCGGAGGAAAAGTTGAGAAACACTGGGGTGGGTGTTTGGCCTGGAGGTGCAACTGCCCGGGTCCCACCTGGGCCCACCTGGGCTTCATTCCTGGCCCAGCTTCTGCTAACGCAGTCCCTGGAGGCAGTTAGTGGCTCAGGTGACTGGGTTCCTGTCACCCCCGTGGGAGGCCTGGACAAGGCTAGAAAGGGCTACTGAGGACACAGCTCCCAGCGGCACCACTGGAACCGTCCTGAGGAGGGGTGGGCGTGTGGCCCGGCGGGTGCCAGCAGAGGGCCTGGCCTGTGGGTGGTCCCGTGGGACTGCCTGCGCTGTCCGTGAGGGAGGTGGGCGGGACCCCACAGCCTGGCTGCTGGCCGGCGCAGGAGCCCCAGGCCCAGTTCCCCCTTCCCCTTTCCTGTTGGAAGCCTTGTGGCTGTGCCTTCGTGACCAATAAACAGAGAGGCGATAAGCAACTCCCACATTCCAGACGGGCCTGCGTGGCCTGCGTGAAGCCGACTGGTAGGGGTCTTTCGGCACGCGGCCCCTTCTGCTCTGCAGAACTGCTGTTCCTACCCCAGCTTTGTTCTCCACTATAAACATCTGTGCCTGACTGCTAATAAGCAGACACGCTCATCAGCCCGGTCTCCAGTGTCTCCAGTCGAGACGCCGGCTCTTCCAGCCGACGGCTGAGGGCCTCACACAAAGACCCCCCTGGCCTCGAACCCCCAACCCCGCTGCCGATGCTTCCTGCTGCATCCTGGGAGGCAGCAGGCGAGGGCGCTCGTGCTTGGCCCCTCCCACAGGCGACACCCAAAGGGAGTTGCAGGCTCCTGGCTTCAGTCTGGCCACTGCTGGCCATTGTGGGCACTCGGGGAGTGAACCAGCGATCGGAGCCCTGTGTGTCTGTCGCTCTGGTTTTCAAGTAGGTGGAAGTAAACAAACATCTGGAGGAAGCCACGGGGAGACAGAGAAAGTTCAAGGCCCCTTGGCAAGGCAAGACTGGACCTTCCAGGACCCTCGGGGAAGAGGAGGGGCAGCTCGCTGGGACGGGCGGTGGGTGGGGCAGAGCGAGCTTGCAGCTGGCCGGGCGGCCTGGCGCGGGCGTCTCTCTGGTCCCTGGGTCCATCCCGAGAGCAGCGCCGTGGCAAGGAGGCTGGGGCTGGCGCGTGGGCAGCCAGCAGTGGCTGGGCGCCGTCACTGCGGGAAGCTCGCTCCGGGGCACAGCCTCCGCCGAGCCTGGGGGAGCTGCCAGGCTGGGATTCCCGCTGGGCTGGGGGAGGAGCAGGAGCAGGAGGAAGCCGAGCAGGTGGGGTGGTCCGCAGCGGGCAGGCGGGCGGCGGGGTTTGGGGCTGTTGGTGCAGCTCAGGGGCCGAGATCCCCCTGGACACGTTTGCTGCCCCGTCCCTGGGGCCAGCGTGTGAGATGGCTGCCGTGGTGGCCAGATGGCCAGCTGGGAGCAGCGGGCTCGGGAATCCCCGGGAGTTGGTGACTGCCTGTGGCCAGTGTGCAGAGGTCGGCAGGACCAGGTCGGTGGGGACTTTGCAGGCATGGTCTGGGCGGGGGCGGGGTCGGGGGGGGGGCTGAGAACAAGGCTGCTTGGCCCCTATGAGCTGGAGGAGCGGCCACAGGAGGGGACCCGCATCTGCATCCTGGAGGCTGGTGCGGGCCCCGGTGTGGGGGTGTGGGAGCTTGGCACACCGAGAGGAAAGGGCCAGGCAGGGAGGGAGGTGCCGAGGGGCGGCCAGCGTGGGAACAGCCGGGGACAGGCACGGCGACCCGGCGGGTGGCAGGCAGGCTGACTGGGGCCCTGCCAGCAGCACCACGCCGCCGCGGCCTGAGCCAGGTGCTTCCCTCCTGTGTCCCCACGTGCCTCTGCCTCTTTCTCTGCCCCCTACCAGCTCTCCGTGGCCCGCTGGTCTTCCGCCTAGCCCTACCTAGGAAAGTGGCGTGGGAACTGTCCTGTCCCCATGCAGGCGACCTCACTGGCCCCGCCCGTTCCTAGAGAGCCTGAGATGTCAGCACACACATGCAGACTGTGGGCCCCGTGGGGACTTCAGGGACACAGGGCCTTCGCTGTGGCTGAGCATGGTGTGGGAGTCTCCTGTCGCTGTTTCGCACGTGGACTCAACTGGCCCTGCTCTGAGTCGAGTCACCTCCCTCAGAACCACGCAGCGAGGCCACGAGGGCTGCGGGTTCTCGGTGCGGGCAGAGGCTGCCCTTTGCTGGTTTGTGAATCACGGTGGCGAGTGGGACAGGGACGCAGGCGTCAGGCTGGGGAGGAGGTGGGGACGCCCCGTGACCGATTCTGCCTTGTAGTACAGCAACCTAGTTTTTAAAAAGATGGATTTATTCATTTGAAAAGAGGGCAGCAGATAGATACGTGATCAAAAGACGACAGAGACGGATGTCCACCTCCAGGTTCACGCCCCAGATGCCCACAGCATTTCCTGGCTGGGGCAGGAGCTGGAGCTCCACCAGGAGCGGGGGCCTTGGCCCACCACCTGCGGCCTCGGCAGGGCTGAGCGCAGGCGGCAGGTGTGTGGGGGGGAACCAGGCCTGATGGCGGCGCCGGCACCTGCCCCCACCTCAGGTTTTGACGAAAGGCAGAGAGGATGCTGGGCTGTTCAGGGAAGGGGCCCAGCCAGAAACCAGGGAGCCCAGGGCGGCCGGTCAGTGTCTGCACTTCCTGCCCGTGGTTCATTTTTAAAGTTTTCAATACCTGTGTTCTCTCTGGAAACACACAGACCATTTTATGAGTATTTTGTTCATATAAAGAGCCTTCCTTTCACTTTTTTAGATGTATTTGTTCAAAAGGCAGAGTGACGAAGACCTCCCACCCATCGATTCACTCCCCCAAACGCTTCCAACAGCCAGAGCTGCACCAGCTCCACCGGGTCTCCCCGACGGGCGCCTTAGCGAGGAGCAGGCTGGGAAGTGCAGCTGGCGCTGGGGCGCGACGCGGGCTCCCTGCTCCGGCCCGGGGCCTGCTGTCCGGTTTGCACACAGAGGCTGCGGCCACCCACCGGGCGGCTCCAGTGCGTCAGCAGTGCGGCGGCGGCCGGGCCCGGCTGCGGACACCCCAGGCGTCCCGTCCTTCCCGGCGGCCTTGTTAGTGCAGCAGCAGTCCTGTCGGCCATGGCGTGGACCTGCTCTCGTGTAACTCACCTGTGACCCGCGGCACGGCAGATCCTCCAGGACGCCGCCGCCTGCCTCTCGGAGGACCCGCAGGCACGGCTGGCCCGGCGGTGGCCTCTACACGCCGGAGCCTCGTCTTGGTCCTGGTCCTGCGCTCACCGGAGCGGAAGTGAACCGCAGGTGTTGAGAGCAGGTCGGTTCCGAGAGCTGCGGTGGGACAAGAGGAAGCCCGGCTCCGGGAGTTCAGGCGGGAGCTGCCCATGTGCCACGGCCCTCGCGTGTGCTCTTGTCCTCAGTAAAGCATCTGGTCAGTAGTAACTCCTTGGCACCGACACAGCCGCCAGAGGCCGTTTCGGGGACACACGGCCGCTTTCCCTCCAGGTCACGGCGCACCCAGCCCCCGCCATGCCCAACAAAACCTGCCGGATGCAGCAGCTGTTCAACTCTGCCTGTGAAAAACGTGCTGCTGTCGACGCGAGGCTGGGCGGCGGGATCTGAGCGTCGGATGATCGGGAAGCTGTCGACGCTAGAATCAGCCCGTTTGAGCTGTGTGGTTTTCAGAAGTTCCACTCAGGGACCAAGCTTGGCCTTGGAGCAGGGAGGACGCTTAACAATAATTAGTATGCGAGAGGGACAGAAAACTCCCAACGGCTGGCTCACACCCAGACACCAGCAGCAGCCGGGGTGGGGGCCCGGGCCTGGAGCCAAGAGCCCGGCGGCCGCGTCACCATGGCGGCTTTCCAGGTCTGCACCGGCAGGAAGCTGGAGTCGGCGGCGGGGACCCAGGCGTGGGAGCCACGTGCAGCCCTGGTCACCAGCTCCCTGTAACCTGTCCCGCCGTGGCCAGCCGCGAGCTGCGTGTCGGCGTCCAGGTGGCAGTGGGTCCAGGGCCAGAACTCTGACCTCGGGAGCAGCCCCCGCCGCAGCCCATGGCTCTGCCTGTTCTTGACACTGCGCGTGCAGGGAGACACACGGCGCCGGCCCCGGCTGCCCAGCGTCCCACTGCGCGTGCCCCCGGCCCTGCCATCCCGTAGCTGTGTCCCTGCTTATGGCTGAAAATACTTTTTTTTAAAAATTATTTATTTGAAGTAATTAGAAAGGGAGAGACAGGCGGAGAAACTTCCATTCTGGTTCACTCCCCAAATGGCTGCCATGGCCAGGACTGGGCCAGGCCAAAGCCAGAGGCCAGGAGCTTCACCCAGGTCTCCCATGCAGGTGCAGGGGCCCAAGGACTTGGGCCATCCTCCGCTGCTTTCCCAGGTGTATCAGGAGGGAGCTGGATCAGAAGTGGAGCAGCCAGTGCCCACGCGGGATGCCGGCGGTGCAGATGGCATTTTAACCAGCTACGCCACAGTTCTGGCACTCAAAATACCAGCCAGCATTGTGGTGCAGTGGGTTAGGCTACGACTTCCGATGCTGACATCCCACGTGAGGGCTGGCTCCCTGCTGATGGCCGGGGAAGGCAGCAGATGATGGACTCAGTGCTTGGGCCCCTGCACCCACACGGGATGGAGCTGCTGGCTCCTGGCTGGCCCAGCCCTGGCCATTGTGGTCATCTGAGTTGTGACCTAGTGGATGGAAGATACCTTTCTCTGTCCTCCCTGAAACTGCCTTTCAAACAAATAAATAGTTAGCCTTTTGCTAAGATCAAGTGTAGGATCTGTCCTCATCAGTTTAACAGTTAAAAACCACCCCCCTGCCTGAGTAGACCACTGTTCTCAGCCACTAACCCCATGGAGGTTTGGGGGCCTGGGCTGCTGGCACCGTCGGCGTCTGTGGGTTGTGCTGCCGCGGCTGCTTATATACAAGTGTTTGAGTGCCTGCTCCCGATTTCTTTAAGATTTATGTTTATTTATTTGAAAGAGTTACAGAGAGAGGTAGAGCTGGCCGGCGGGGGAGTCTTCCATCTGCTGGGTCACTCCCCACCAGACCGCAACGGCCAGAGCTGGGCTGACCCGAAGCCAGGAGCCAGGTCTCCCATGTGGGTGCAGGGGCCCGAGGACTTGGGCCATCTTCCACTGCTTTCCCAGGCCACAGCAGAGAGCTGGCTTGGAAGAGGAGCAGCCGGGACTCGGACCGGCGCCCATGTGGGATGCTGGTGCCGCAGGCGGAGGCTTAACCCACTACACCAGTGCCGGCCCCGGGGTCTGGTTTTCAGTTTCTGCAGACGTAAGCTGAGGCTCTGGTGGGGGCTGCAGGAGCTTCCCCAGTCTGGGGAGAGCTGTGTCGGGGGGGGGCTTTCCGCTCGGTTAGTGGTCTTTGCTTTCCCTCGGTCTTCCCAGCGTTCCCTTGGCTACACTGAGGGCTGGGTGTTCCATCTGTTGCTGCTGGTGGGAATAAATTTCATTGATGTGTTCCCTTTCTGGTCTGCTCACTGCCCGGTACAGGAAAACAGCTGACACCTGTATTCCGGACCGGTGCCCTCCGACCACTGAGTGCACCCGCAGCTCTGGGCGCCGGGGGACCCGCTGGGCGCGCCCTGCAGACCAGGGCAGCAGCAAACCTGCCGTCACGCCTCTCCTTCCCGCTCCCGTGGTGCCGCCTGCTGGCGGGAGCCTCCCGCGCCTGGCCGGGCAGCCCCTGCTCCGCTCCCTGGCCTTGGGGAACTGGCTGGGACCCTCTCAGGTGTGGTGCAGGACGGCAGTGCCGCCGTCCTGAAGATTCACGCTGGGCCGGCGCCGCGGCGTAGCAGGCCAGGCCGACGCCGGGGGCGCCAGCGCCCCACAGGAGAGCCACGTGTGTCCCGGCTGCTCTTCCAATCCCGCTCTCTGCTGCTGCCTGGGAAAGCGGAACGCGGCCCGCGTCCGTGAGACTGGAGGAAGCTCCTGGCTCCTGACAGGCCCAGCTCCGGCCGTCGTGGCCGTCTGGGGAGTGAACCAGCAGATGGAGACCTTTCGCGGTCCCTCTCTCTCTGCCTCTCAAATAATCTTTAGGGAAAAAAAAAAAAAAAAAAAAAAAAAAAAAAAAAAAAAAAAAAAAGAAAAACAACTTCGTGCCTGCCAGCTCGGGGACAGGTGTGCTCAGGTCCTTCCCTGGGAAGCCTGCGGCTGCCGCCGACCCCCAGCAGGGCCACAGCCACGCTCAAGGTTCCACAGCGGCAGAAGGCCAACCACGCGGCTTCCTGCCCCCCCCCCCCCCCCGTGCGCGCGGAGGCGGCGCGTGCGGCCCACGCGGCTCACTCTGGGCCGTGGACGCGCCGGTGCTGGATGAGGTGGAAGCTCAGGCGGAAGGCCCTCCCGCAGTCCGTGCAGCGGAAGGGCTTCTCGCCCGTGTGCAGCCTCTGGTGCCGGAAGAAGCCCGAGAGCGCCCGGAAGGCGCGGCCGCAGTGCCCGCACTCGTGGGGCTTCTCCCCGGTGTGGATCCTGCGGTGCTCGCTGAGGAAGGAGCTGCGGCTGAAGGCGCGGCCGCAGTCGCCGCACTCGTAGGGCCGCTCCCCGGTGTGCACGCGCTGGTGCTGCAGGAGGTTGGAGCTCTGGCTGAAGGCCTTGCCGCACTCCGGGCACGCGTACGGGTTCTCCCCGTGGTGCACGCGCTGGTGCCGCACCACGTTGGAGCTGTGCACGAAGGCCTTCCCGCACTCCCGACACGCGTACAGCCGCTCCCCAGTGTGGCTCCGCTGGTGCTTGGCGGCGTCCGAGCGCTGCCCGAAGGCCTTGCCGCACTCGGCACACGCGTACGGCTTCTCCCCGGTGTGCGTCCGCTGGTGGCGGATGAGGTTGAAGCTCTGGCTGAAGGCCTTGCCGCACTCCGTGCACACGTACGGCTTCTCGCCGCTGTGCACGCGCTGGTGCCGGACCACGTGCGAGCTGTGCACGAAGGCCTTGCCGCAGTCGCCGCACTCGTAGGGCTTCTCCCCGGCGTGGGCGCGCTGGTGCCTCGCCACGGCCGAGCAGCATGCGAAGCTCCGCCCACAGGCGCCGCACGCGAACGGCCGCCCTCCGGGCCCCGCCGCAGGGCCCGCGCTCAAGGGGACGTCGGAGCCGGCCGCACCACCTCCGCGGCCAGTCTGCCCCGCCGCGTTCTCACCGCCCACGGGCACCTGCGGGGCCCCTCCGGGCCTCCCTCCAGCTTCCGCATCTTCACAAAGGCCGGGGGTCTCCAGCGTGGGCGTCTCCTCTACGCTCGCAGCTGCCTGCCGGGCAGCCGGGCTGCCACGTGGGGCCTGTGCTGGAAGACACACGTGCACCGCGTCAGGAGCGGAAACGCCACGTCCCGATCGCAGGCGCAGGCAGGGGAGGGTGAGGTTGGCATCGGTGGCGAGGGCGGGGCGGCAGGCACTGCACCGGCCTGCCTCGCGGGCTCCCGGCAGGGACAGGCTGGGGACAGCCGGCCGCACTCCTTCCCTGTGAGGACCGGCCCGGGGACACAGGTTCCGGGCAAGCCCTCCTTCCGCCATCTGCCTGGAGAGCCACGGAGATGGGGAGGAGCGCGCGTGGGGCCGCGGCCTCGCCCCAGCTTCCTCCTCAGCCCGTGGGGCCCTGGGACAGCTCGCTCCACCCGCAGCCCCCAGGCTCAGAATTCACCCTGAGCGCTGGGCCGCCGCCCGGGGCTGGGGGCCGGGCAGCGGGCCAAGCGCATGTGCGGGTCCTCGTGGGCTCGGGGCAGATCCTGGCCACTGAGGAGCTTTGGGGAGGCGGCGGCACGGGGGGCTCAATGTAGCCCCCGAGCGCGTGGCGGCAAGGCTGCGGCAGGGGCCCGGGGCGGCGCTCGGATGGAGGCCCCTGCCTGTCTGCAGAGCTGCGAGGTCAGAACTCCCCCACAGGTCTGGTTACGGGGCAGGTGTCCACCAGGACCGCAGCGGCCTTCAGGTCCGCGCCCCCCCCCCCCAGGCCCTGCATCCTGCAGCCCCTGCACGGGCTCAGGAGACCCCCACGGGCCCGAACCATAAAACACGCAGGCCAGGTGCTGGGGACCACCCTACAGTGCCAGGGCAGTGCCCTCCGCGAGTGCTCGCCCGGCCCGGATCCCACGTACCAGGGTGGACAGAAGTCCCGAAAGCAGAACCTGTGGCTGTGTGACTTCTAACCAAGAACCCGGCTGCTGCCGGGACAGAGGCCGCCATCGCACACAGAGGCCAGGAGACCCGAGGGCTGCTGCCGGGACAGAGGCCGCCATCGCACACAGAGGCCGCGAGACCCGAGGGCTGCTGCCGGGACAGAGGCCGCCATCGCACACAGAGGCCGCGAGACCCGAGGGCTGCTGCCGGGACAGAGGCCGCCATCGCACACAGAGGCCGCGAGGCCCGAGGGCTGCTGCCGGGACAGAGGCCGCCATCGCACACAGAGGCCGCCATCGCACACAGAGGCCAGGAGACCCGAGGGCTGCTGCCGGGACAGAGGCCGCCATCGCACACAGAGGCCAGGAGACCCGAGGGCTGCTGCCGGGACAGAGGCCGCCATCGCACACAGAGGCCGCCATCGCACACAGAGGCCAGGAGACCCGAGGGCTACTGCCGGGACAGAAGCCGCCATCGCACACAGGCCGCGAGACCTGAGGATCACCTCGGGCTGCCCTGCCTCCTGCGGCAGGACGACCCGCCTGCGTCAGCGCGGGCGTGGTGCCCCGCGTTCCTCTCCACGTGAGGTGCTGCCACCTGCCTGCCCCCCACGCCGAGCGCCAGCGCCTGCTGCGGTGATGTGTGGCCCGGACGCAGGCCGCATGTGCACACGACGCAGACCCCACAAGGGAGGGACAGGCACAGCCTAGGCCCCCAGAGTGGCTCTGCGATTGCGCCCCTGGGCCGCTCCCTCCTCACCGTCCCCCAGTGGGTGCTGGGAATTCGGGGAGACACAGGCGAGTCGGGGTGGGGTACAGGGGCGCCTTTTCTACTCGGCCCCCGCGGCTGACCGGCAGTCACCAGTAAGATCGGGAGAAACTTCAGACCGCATTTCTGGGCTAAGGGAGGACTCGCTGTGCAGTGATTCAGTCACAGACCGGCCCGTGGCTGTGACAGCCGGCAAACGTGGTCTTAACCTCCAGAAGGGAGGGCGCCCGAGAGGCCGGGGGGCCGGAGGGCGCCCGTCGCTCGTCAAACCCTCCTGGACAAACCGAGCCAGGTGCAGGCGCCCTGGGCGTCTCCAGCGGGCTGGGAGGGGCCGGGGAGAGTGAGGCCAGGGCCCACAGTGCAGCGAGTGCGTGAGCCGAGGCCTGGGCCGGGGCAGCCGAGCAGCGCAGCAGGCGGGGCCCCCTGCCCGGTGCCCCTCGCGCCCCTCACCTGCAGGCGCCTCCATCAGCTCTCCCTCTCCGTGGCGCCCGGGATCCAGGCCTGGCCGCCCTGCTCCTCCATCCTCCTCGCAGACCAGCGGCCGGGAACGGACGCCGCTAGGGGAAGAGATGGGAACACGGGACCCTGAGGGCAGGAGGGCCCTGCACGGGAGGGCCGAGGGAGCCGGGCCCTGCAGTGACTCCTCCTCAGCTCCGCGAGCAAGCTCCAGGCCCAGAACAGAAACAAGTACTTGCTACCAGATCCCAGAGCCGAAGCTGGTAAGGCCTCTACACGCCAGACAGCGCGAGAAACTGGCACACGCGAGAAAAACAAGTGGGCGACGGGTTTTTAAACCCCCCCTCATTTTCAGTGCAGGGTGTCCCCACCCCGCATCACAGCGCCTGCCCGAGATCCCACCCCTGCCCCCCAGGACATAGGTGAGGGCTCAAGTACCCGGGCCCCGTCACCCACCAGGGACCCAGATGGAGCACGTGGGCCCCGTCACCCACCAGGGACCCGGATGGAGCACGTGGGCCCCGTCACCCACCAGGGACCCGGATGGAGCACGTGGGCCCCGTCACCCACCAGGGACCCGGACGGAGCACGTGGGACCCCGTCACCCACCGGGAGACCCGGACGGAGCACGTGGGCCCCGTCACCCACCGGGGACCCGGACGGAGCACGTGGGCCCCGTCACCCACCGGGGACCCGGACAGAGCACGTGAGCCCTGCCACCCATCGGGAGACCCGGACGGAGCACCCGGGGCCCCGTCACTGGGAGACCCGGTGGGGTTCTGGGCCCCTGCCACCCACCGGGAGACCCGGGGCCTCGTCACCCACTGGAGACCCGGATGGGGTCTGGGCTTCTGGCTTCAGCCTGAGCCAACCCCGGCTGTTGTGGCATTGAGGGGTCTCTCTCTCTCTCTCTCTCTTTCCGATTTTCAGATAAATGAAAATGGTTTTTAGAAAATGCGATTTTTTTTCTCAGAAAGTCGATTTCTGAAAACGAGCAGCTTACGAGCAAGGCTGCGAGGGCACCGGCGCTGCGCTCGGCGGGCTCGAGTCCTGGCGCGGACGCCGGGCCCCAGCAGCCGACGCGGAGCAGACCCCGCGCGGCCGCGCCCACCCGCCGCCCCGCACGCCCGGCCCCCGCCTCCGCCTCGCGCAGGAGACACCGCCCGGCCCTCACCTGCCGCTCGGCCGCGCCGGAAGCGCCGTCGACGTCGCCTAGCGGCTCGGGCACTTCCGGCGGCGCTCTGGGCCTCGGGAGGACCGCGACTCTGCTGCCGGTTTCCCCCTCGAGTCCGGCGTCCAGTGTGGCCCCGCGGCCCCTGCGGAGGGACGGGAGGGAGGGACGAGCGCGTGCGGGCGCGGGGCGGGCTGGGCTGGGTGTCCGCCGCCGCCTGCGGGGGCCGACGTGCGGGCTGGGTGTCCCGCGGCAGCTTGCGGGGGCCGAGGTGCGGGCGGGGCGTCCGCAGCCGCTTGCGGGGGCCGAGGTGCGGGCGGGGCGTCCGCAGCCTCCCGCGGGCCGAGGTGCGGGCGGGGCGTCCCGCAGCAGCTTGCGGGGGCCGAGGTGCGGGCGGGGTGTCCGCCGCCGCCTGCGGGGCCGAGGTGCGGGGGGGGGCGTCCCGCAGCAGCTTGCGGGGGCCGAGGTGCGGGCGGGGCGTCCCGCGGCAGCTTGCGGGGGCCGAGGTGCGGGCGGGGCGTCCCGCAGCAGCTTGCGGGGGCCGAGGTGCGGGCGGGGCGTCCGCAGCCGCTTGCGGGGGCCGAGGTGCGGGCGGGGCGTCCGCAGCCTCCCGCGGGCCGAGGTGCGGGCGGGGCGTCCCGCAGCAGCTTGCGGGGTGCCGAGGTGCGGGCGGGGCGTCCGCAGCCTCCCGCGGGCCGAGGTGCGGGCGGGGCGTGCCCTGGGCTGCTCCCTGCACGCCTGCGGGCCATTTCTGCCGTAAACCTTTTCCTGCTGCCTCCGGCGCGGGGCCGGCAGCCGGGGTGGGGTGGGGGGGATGTGTGGCCTTCCAGCTGCAGATCACGGGCTGGGGAGTTGCAACACTGGAGTCTGTTCATTTCTGACACCCGCCCGGCCCTCCCTCCTGCCGCGTTCATGGCCCGCTGAGCAGCCACGTGGCCGGTGGTTGGTGTTGGGGGGCCCCAGTCCCTGCAGGACTGCGTGGAGCCCCGGGGGATGTTCCGACGTTGGGGCTGGCCCCTTCCCTGGCTGGTGGCTGGGACAGGTGCCCGGGGCAGCTTTGGGCAGCTTTGGGCTCTGCCCAGCATCAGGACAGAGGATTGCAGCAGGTGGTGTCAGTGAGATCCAACAGGGGTTCAGCTGTGCAGACACAGGGAGCAAGGAGATGGCCCACCCGCTGGTTCACTCCCCAGATGCCGGGCCAAACCAGGAGGAGCAGCTGCCTGCGGGCCTCCCTTGTGGGTGGCGGGGGCACTGGCAGGAAGCAAGGAACCAGGACTGGGGTCAGGGACTCTCATCGGGGCTGCGGGTGTCCCAAGCAGTGACTTCAGCCGGTGTGCAATGGCACCTCAGTGCTGTGACGAGTGACCTGCAGGTCCCCTGCCTGGGTGCGGGTACCCAGGGGCGAGTTCCAGCGTCCTCGGGTTCTGTCAGCGTGGTGGGTGGTCCCGTCCAGCCTGCTTTAGGGCGAGATGGGGGGAGGCAGCCTGTCTGCTGTGGAGCCCGGCCTCAGACCCGAGCTGAGACGTGGGCTCCCCTGTCCAGCCTGGGGCTCTCCCAGCGGCTGCCGGGCCTCCAGGTGTGCCCAGCAGCTGCACACCTCCCTCTCACGGCCTCCCGGGAGGGGGGGTCTGCTCCCTGGGCATAAGGGAACGGGGTGGCGAGGGCCTGGAAGCACACCCGAGCCCCAGAGGCCGGCCAGGAACCTGGAGCTCCCCACTTCCCACCCCTTCCTGTACAGTGACCGCTCACCATGCCTGGAAAAACCCAGAGTCCGAGAACCAGTGGCCACAGCAGGGCGATGCTGAGACTGGAGAGAGAGGCCGGCCAGGGCTACAAGCCTGGAGCACCCGAGACTCACAGGGGTCCTGGGAAGCCACAAGACAAGCGCCCTGGGGCATGGGGGTGGTGGCCCGGCAGGTAACGGCCACATGGCAGAGCTGCTGGTTGGGGTCCACCTCTGCTCCTGACCCAGCTTCCTGCTAATGCGCACCCTGGGAGGCAGCCGGAGGCGGCTCAGCGGGTGGGCCCCTGCCACCCACACGGGAGACCCAGATGGAGCCCTGTCGCTCCCCGTCTTCGTGGAGGAACGACACAGGACCCTGCGTTGTTCTTTCGTCTGCTCGGCCCTTCCCGGGTTTGCTGCTGGTTCTTCCTGGGTTGGCTACCGTCCCTCCACCTCCGTGGAGGGGCGGGCCCCCTGCCACTTTCCCCACTTCCGCGGGGGAGCGGCACACCGACGGCCGGCTCTCTCGGGGGCTGCTCAGATGTTCCTCAGGTGTTCCTGGTGCATGTTGTCTCTCTCCTCCTTTATAGTCCTCTTCACCAATCCGAACTCTGCTACCCACACGCCGAGTACGCTGCTCTCCTCCAATCAGGAGCAGGTCCTGCTGTTTATTGGTTGAACTGGAGGCAGCTGTGTAGAAGCTGTTTCCTCCTCTCCCAGCGCCATATTGTGGGAGAGCAGATGCATAGAATAAGTCTTAATTTCAGTAACTTAGTCTAGTCCGAGTTGCTCCCAGTTGCTACCCACAGATCCCCCTTTCTTTTTATTTTTTGGCGTTGATACGCGCCTGTCTTCGGTGCCCCGTGGCACACACTCTGCTCTGCTCGCTAGAGTTGCCCACAGGTGCTTACAAGCCCTAGCAATCAGGCAAACCGAATCCAAGCCTTCTCATTGCCGTCTTGTGGGGAGACTTATTGGTGTTGATAACGTGCCTGTCTTCGGTGACCTGCAGCCGCCCACAGGTGCTTATCGTCTTACTAATCAGGCAGACCGAATCCAAGCTCTCTCATTGCTGTGGTGTGGGGAGGCCTTATTTTTCTCTATTTCTCTATCTCCGGGCATTCCTATTTCTCCTATTTTACTTCTATCTGCCAACATTCCTATTTCTCTCATTTTACTTCTAAACTTCTATTTCTCTTATCCCCGCGGCTTCCCGGCGCCCGCCCCGAGGCTGCTTCTCGGTGCGCAGCTCGGCTTCGCGCGCTCCGCGGTCTCCACGCCCTTCGCACCCGCACCACGGCCTTCGCGCCCACACCACGGCCTTCGTGCCAGCCCCGCATTCCCTATCTATTCACGCCCTGTGCTCTCTCTGCACGTGGCGACTTCCGCGAATCACACAGCCTAGCTCACGTTTCCGCCACCGGTATCCAGTCTAAGTTCCCCGGGCTAACCTGGCGAATTCAACCTAGCTCACGTCTGCGCCTTTCGGTTTGGCTTCCCGTCTTTTGCTCCCTGGGCTAATCTGACGGATTCCAACCTGGCGGCCCACGTCTCTGCCTCTGGTTCCAGATTTTCGCCTTTTGTTCCCCGGGCTGACTTGAAGAATCCCAAGATAGCATATGTCTCCACTTCAGCCTGCCCTCGCGGCTTCATCCTCCCTAACATATTTTTCTCTACCCGGTATGTTTCCTAACTTTTCTTCCAACAACATTCCCCTCTCATTTCTCCTGGCTTCTCCCCACAGTCCGTATCCGAGTCTAAGTTTCTTTTAGGTTTCACTTTCACTTTCAACCTGCAGTCCGTTTCTGAGTCTAAGTTTCTTCTTGCTTTCACTTTCAATCCTAGCTTTCAATCCTAACTTCTTTCCCACAGTCTGTATCCGAGTCTATGCCTAGGCTTTCAATAGCTTCTTCCGGCACCTTTTCCGTCCGGCTTTTCCCTAGGCTCTTTGCTAGTCTCTCTCTCCGGTATTTTCCCACTTCTTCCCGTTTCTTCCCTCCTAGGTTTCCTATCCGAGTCACGGCACCATTATGTCGCTCCCCCTCTTCGTGGAGGAACGACACAGGACCCTGCGCTGTTCTTTCGTCTGCTCGGCCCTCCCCGGGTTTGCTGCTGGTTCTTCCCGGGTTGGCTACTATCCCTTCCACCTCCGTGGAAGGGCGGTTCCCCCTGGCCGCTTTCCCCACTTCCGCAGGGGAGCGGCACACCGCCGGCCGGCTCTCTCGGGGGCTGCACAGGTGTTCTTCAGGTGTTCCTGGTGCATGTTGTCTCTCTCCTCCTATATAGTCCTCTTCACCAATCCCAACTCTGCTACCCACACGCCGAGTACGCTGCTCTCCTCCAATCAGGAGCAGGTCCTGCAGTTTATTGGTTGAACTGGAGGCAGCTGTGTAGAAGCTGTTTCCTCCTCTCCCAGCGCCATATTGTGGGAGAGCAGATGCATAGAATAAGTCTTAATTCCAGTAACTTAGTCTAGTCCGAGTTGCTCCCAGTTGCTCCCCACAGAGCCCCGCTTTTGCAGGCATTTGGAGAGCGAACCTATGGTCAAGAGATTTCTCTCTCTATGACCCTCGGGGAAGCCCCAGGAAGCGGATTGTAGGCAGAGGGAGCCTCAATGCACCTGCACTTTGACAAGAGATAGTTTCTTGTTTGTTTTTTATTTGTGAGGTAGAGCTACAGAGAGGGAGAGGCAGAGAGAAAGGTCTTCAATACCCGAATGGCCGCAGTGGCCCGAGCCAGGAGCCTTTTCCAGGTTTCCCACGTGGGCGCAGGACCGGAAGATACAGTTTAACACTGGTAAGAGCCAAGCATGAGGGGCACTCCCGCTGCCCGTGGGTGGCCTCGGGCACTCTGTGTACCCTGCAGGGCTCGGGGGGCCCTGCACAGCAGAACCGTGGCCACGTCCACCTGGCTCCGCCCCTACCCCAGGATACCCCTGCCTGGCGTGGTGCAGAGGGAGGCGCCCTCCTGGTCAGGACCTGTGAGGATCTCTGCGGGCAGGCGTGGGCACGGCCGGCTGAGCCCACATCCTGACCACACTGCTGGTTCAGGGGCCGGCATCCCATATGGGCTCCTGGGATGCACCTGGGGGCCAGCAGCAGACGGCCCCAGTGCCTGGGCCCCTGCATGCCTGGGGGGTCCTGGGTGGAGTTCCCACCCCCAGATGTTACAGGGATCACAGGATCTCTCTCCCTCTCTGCTTTGCAAGTAAAAATAAACCTCAGTCTCTGAGCCTGGCTTCCACGCATCCGACAGCCATGGCTGTTCCGGGCCAGGTTGCCCCTGGCGCTCCTGGGTGGGGGGCACAGGGTCATGGCCCATGGCCAGCGTGACCGGCAGGCAGCACAAACCAGACACAGGTCAGGAAGGAGCCACAGAGCGAGTGCCCTGTGAAGCACCCGGGCTGAGGGTCTGAAGGCCCCCGCATTAGGCCATTTTGCCCCAACCTTGAACCAGGCCAGCTGCCAGGCCCCGCCCCCAAGGCGTCCAGGGGCCTCTTCAAGGTTGGTCTAGGACGTTGGGGCCACCCACAGCTGGGGTGGGGCTCGAGGCGGGGGGGGGACAGTTCCCACAGAGGCATGGTGTCTGTGTGGCTGCACCGCGTGGTGGTTACTAAGGCAGGGCAGGCAGCCATCTGACCTCGTCCTCAGGCAGAGCCTGACCCCACAGCCACAGCCCTAGCCCCGCGGCTATGTCCAGCGCGCAGCCTGGCCTCCAGTCCCCACCGGAGCAAGGCCTGCTGGGGTCTCAGGGCTGCAGGTCAGGGCTGGGGCTGTGAGGCCAGAGATCCCAGCTTCTGTCACCACCCATGTGCGAGTCAGGGGACATCCCTGGGGTCATGTGCGCCCTAGGCACAGGCGACACTGGACATGGCGGGGCACCCAGACACAGGCAGGGTGGTGGCCTGCACGTCCAGCCGGACCAGTAACCTGGCTGCCCTGGGGCCAGGCGCAGGGCTGTGGGTGTCACTGGGGAGCCTCTGGAGGGGTGGGGTCCCCGGAGCAGGACAGGGCGCTGTTACTCGCAGCCAGCTGAGCTCCTGTCTGGCGCAGGGGCTGGGAGCCACCCGGGCACCCCTTCTTCCGAAGCCCACCAGGTGTGCGGGCAAGGGGTGGGGCGCGACCCGACCGGAGGAACCGGCTGTCTGAAAAGGAGCCCCATGACCAGGGCGGAGGGCAGGCGGCACGCGGCGCCTGTGCGGGCCCCTGGCCGCCCGCCCGTCCTGGGGCCGGGGCGGCAGGCTGCGGGGGACCCGCGGGAGCCCTCCGGCCTTGCGCGGGCACAGCCGGCTCCCCTCAGGAGGACTTACTGGGGCTCGGGGCGCCGCCTACTCGCGGGAGTGGACGCGCTGGTGCTGGATGAGCTGTGAGCTCTGGCCGAAGGCCTTCCCGCAGGCGCCGCAGGCGAACGGCTTCTCGCCGGTGTGGGCCCGCAGGTGGCGGAAGAAGTGCGAGCGGCCGCGGAAGGCCTTGCCGCACTGCGCGCACTCGTACGGCTTCTCGCCGGTGTGCACGCGCTGGTGCTCGATGAGCACCGAGCTCCAGATGAAGGCCTTGCCGCACTCGGGGCAGGCGTACGGCTTCTCGCCCGTGTGCAGCCGCTGGTGGCGCACCAGGTTGGAGCTCTGGCTGAAGGCCTGGCCGCAGTCGCCGCACTTGTAGGGCTTCTCGCCGTTGTGCGTGCGCAGGTGCTGCGTGAAGTGCGAGCTGTGGCTGAAGGCGCGGCCGCACTGGCCGCACTCGTACGGCTTCTCGCCGGTGTGCACGCGGCGGTGCTGGATGAAGCCGGACCAGCCGCGGAACGCCTTGCCGCACTCGGGGCAGGCGTACGGCTTCTCGCCCGTGTGGATGCGCTCGTGCTTCTGCAGCAGCGACCTGTACCGGAAGCTCTTGCCGCAGGCCTCGCAGCGGTGCGGCTTCGCCCCGCCCTCCGCGCGCGGCCCCAGCGGCCTGCGCCACGCGCCCGCGCACCTGGGGCCGCGGGGGAGGCTCTGCAGGAGGCTCCGCAGCGCCCCTCCCCCCCGGCCAGCCGCGTCCTGGGCAGTGTGGGCGCGCGGAGAGGGCGGGGCCTGCTCGGGCTCCGGGGCTGAAAGGAGAAAGGGCAGAGGCTGACCGTGCGACCACCCTGGCCCCCGCGGGGTGGGGCGAAGCCGCCTGGGGTCTGCAGAGGGCGGGGGTGCACAGGGCTGGACGCCGAGGGAGGCGCAGTGGCCAAGGGCAGCGGTGAGCAGAGGGAGCCCCGGGCAGACATGGGAGCAGAGGGACACGCGGCCAGGCTCCAGAGGACGCCCAGGGCCGCCCCGGCCCTGGTGGCAGCCTAAGCCCCGCCTCCCACCCCGGGGTGGTACTTCCTGAGGGTCCCTAATGACCCCTGGTTGCTGGTCTTGGGGTGCAGTGCTGCCCTGGGCGAGATCCCAGCCCATGGCAGGTGGGGGTGGGGGGCCGGGGTTGCTGCTCTGTTGCGTCCAGCTGGTGGCCACGAGGCCGGGGGGGGGGGGGTCCACAGGAGGGGTCTGGGCTGCGTGGGCGGGGCACGCTCACCTGGCCAGGTGTCGCTGCCGATTCTGACTGGCTCTGCACCGCAGGGGTCCAGGTCGGCCGGCTGGGAGGGCCCCTCAGGGCTGCGGTGGGGGGAGCCTGGGGGGACAGGGGTCTGTGACTCACCCCCACCGGCTGGAGGGACCTCCCTCCTCTGAACCAGCCCAGCTGCACCCCAACAGCCTAGTGTCCCCCAGAAGGGCAGGGCAGTGACTCGGCGCCGTTGCTCACGGCTTCCCTGGCCGGGGACTGACCCCTCCCCATGGTGGGCCCTCCCTTGGCCTGAGATGAGCCTGGCCTGCTCTCACACCAGTGCCCGCCGGCTGGGCAAGTCCCAGCACAGCACCCAGGACAGGAAGCGGTCACCCTGGTGTGGCAATCACTGACGGGCGGGTCTGTGCCCCGGCTCAGCCATCACCCCAAGGGCACACGATGTGGCCGCTCCCCCAGGACATACACGCCCCTCAGCATGGGGGCTCCCCTTGCTGTTAGCTCAGCCGCCCTGACCCAACTGAGGGCGGCTCCTGGCACCCAGGCCGGGCAGCGCAGATGGAGCTGGGGTGGGGTGGGGCAGCCCCGGCCACACGCTGGGCGCGGATTCTCAGACCCCAGCTCAGAGCTGCTCCGTGGCCTGTTTCAAGAACCACACAGGGGCCAGCGCTGTGGCGTAGCGGGTAAAGCCGCCGCCTGCAGTGCCGGCATCCCATGTGGGCACTGGTCCAAGTCCCGGCTGCTCCACTTCCTACCCAGCTCTCTGCTGTGGCCTGGGAAAGCAGTAGAAGATGGCCCGAGTCCTTGGGCCCCTGTATCCGGGTGGGAGACCCAGAAGAAGCTCCTGGCTCCCGGCTCCAGATCAGCACAGCTCCGGCCGTTGTGGCCGATTGGGGAGTGACCCGTCGGATGGAAGACCTCTCTCTCTCTGCCTCTCCTCTCTCTGTGTAACTCTTTCAAATAAATAAATAAATCTTAGGAAAAAAAAACCCACACAGCCCTGTGTGGGGGGTGGAGGGGCACTCTGTGGTCCCTCTGCTCATCAGCCACGTCTTTGCCCCCCATGGGGGCCCCGAGCCTAGGAAGGGACCCCAGCCCCACTCCCAAGAGCCCTGAGGGCTGGGGCGGTCAGGAGACGGGGCGGCCATGACACTTCTCCCCGCTGTGTTGCCTTGGCCGGGGCGCACCTGGGCCCTCGGGGGGGCCTCTCCCGGGGTGGGGGCAGGCACAGGAGCCCCAGCAGCTGGAGGCCCGGCCACAGCGGCCCAGCTGAACCCCGACTCCAGCTCTGGAGGGGCAAGACAGCGATGCCGCCAACACAGCCAGGAGCAGAGCCTCCCCAAACCTCGGCCACGGCCGCGACGCCGGCGGGGCGCCAGGGTCTTCTCTCAAGCCCACGAAGGCCCCACCTCGGCTGGCACACAGCACAGAGCTCGCTGTCTCTGGGAGCCTGCGGGCCCAGCAGGTGGCTCTGCCCCCAGGCGTCCCACAGCCTGCCAGTGTGGCCGCCGCGCTGGGGTCGTCATTGCTAAGGGATCTGTGGCCCCCCAGCCACTCCTGATGCGCAGGCAGCTGAGACCTGCCTGGCCTGCCCACGTGTGGCCTCTGGGAGGTCGCCCACAGCACCTGGCAATCCTCAGGGTCACCCCAGTGCCACGATGCCCTCCTCCCGTAACGGGACCAGCATCTGCCTGTGGTCCTGCTCACGAGGGGGGTGGGGACGGAGCCTGAGGAGCCCCAGACCTCTGAGAGCCAGGGATGGGTGGAGCGAGGTCCGGTCCCTCAGGCCAGCCTGGCGTGAACTCTGGGCCACCAGGGCCCGTACCCGAGAGCCTGGGTTCATTCCAGGCTCCACGCCCGACTGCAGCCTCCCGCTAACGCAGAGCCTGGGTACAGCAGGTGGCGGCTCAGGTGCCTGGGGGCCCAGGAATGAGTTCCAGCCTCCCGGCTCCAGCTGGCTCAGCCCGGCTGTCGCAGGGAGTGGGGAGTGACCCGGCGGGCGGATCTCTTGGCTTCTTTCAAACAAGTTAAAAAGAACTATGGGCGCTACTGCCCTAGCTCTAGGACAGAACCTCGGAGGTGCGCCGTTTCGGGGCCACTTTTTCTCCCACTGGCCCCCGGGGAGCCCGGCAGCACCCCTCGGCGCTCTGCCCCAGGCCCCAGCCCTCCTGGCCCGGGGTGCGAAGCCCCAGCACCCGGGAAGCTGCGCGCGTCTGAGTACCATGTCGCAGGGCTGCGCGGTGCCGGGTGCCGGGTGTCCCTGGTGACGAGAGACTGGCGACAGGGGATGGGACAGGAGGGGGCTCCTCGGTGTGTCCCAGGGATGCCATCCTGCCTGACTCGCGGAAGCTGCACACGGGGACCTGGGAAACGAACGTCGAGGTGGACGAGGGCGTCGCCGGCGCCGCCCCAGCTCCCAGGCGCGGGCAGGTGTGCCAGGGTCTCCGCAGGGGACGAGCGCGCTTCCAGCCCACGGAGAACACCGCCCGCCCCCACCGCCCGGGCCGCGACAAGAGCTCGGCCAGGCGGTCCTGGAGGCGGCGCCGGGCCTCTCCCTCGGGGCAGCGGGCGCACGCGTTACCCCCGGCACAGCTCGCGAGCGCGCGTCCACGAGGGGCCCACGCACCCCTGCCCTGGCCGGGGGGCGGCGGCGAGCGCACGCCCCTCCCCTCAGGCTCGGCCGCAGAGTCCCGCGGCTTCGCGCGCCGGGGTGCGGGGCCGCGGGCAGTGATTGCGGGGCTCAGTCCCCCACCTGCCAAGTGGGGACCTCCGCGGCTCCCGCGAGGAAGGCGTCCCGGGGACGGACACTCGAGGCCCAGGAGCCCACCCTCGCCCCAGGCTCAGCCCGCGGCCAAGCACGGCGGCACTGGACGGCCCCAGGCTCCCGGCCGCCGCCCGCGCCCACTCACCTTCGGAGTGGGAGGCGGCCACCGCGCCGGCCGGAAGTGCAGCTGCCCCGCCCCGGCGCGCGCTTCCGGGACGCTCTGGGCTCGGAAGACCGCGCGCCTCGCTGGCCGCGCACGCGCACCTGCCGCGGATGCTCGGTGCCTGCCGGCCGCGGGGCGACCCCGCGCTGCGCTCTCCGCGGTCCGTTAATGTGGAGAGATGCCGGGTGGCCGGATCAGCCGCTGTCAGGGGAAGGTGCCCGTCCAACCCGCACCGAGCGCCGCGCGCGCGGCTCTGCAGAGGTCTGCGGGTCCGCGCCCGTGGTGGTCGTGCGTTGGACCGCAGAGCCCCTCGGTCAGCCCGCAGTTCGCCGGGACACTGCGGGAGGGCTGTGCCTGCTTCCTTGCCGGACTTCCCCAGCCCGTTCTTCCGAGTAGGCGGGACCCAGGGGACGTCCGTGCCCCCGCCCCGCGGAGGGGGCGTCCGGGAGGAAGAGACCCGAGACCCGGGCCGGTCAGGGAGGGTGGCGCTGGCCGCTCGCAGCTGGAGGAAAGGCGCCGCAGAGGCGCACGCGGAGAGCCCGGCCCTGCGCTGGACTCCTGGGCCGCCTGGGGCCCTGCCGGGTTTGTGTCGGCGCACGGGGGAGCGGGTGCAGGTGCACGCTCCTGCCTGGGCGGCCCCGCTGGGAACAGAGGCTAGGCCCTGGTCAGGCCCCCTCCCTGCGCCTGGTCCTGGGACGCCAGCAGCGGGGCCCTCAGTGGGCGGAGTCCGCATGTGCGGGAGCACGCAGCCGGGGCTCCCGGGCTGGCCAGGGGTCTCAGATGTGTGCGTGCCTGCGGGTGACAATGCCGCCGTGGCGACAGGAGCAGGGCTCCAGTGCCCGCCCCTCCCCGCGCGTGCGACCCGCAAAGCTGCGGGGAAGGAGTGCTGTCCTGCAGGGGCGGGGCGATCGTGCCCGCCCAGGGCCGGGGGCTCCCGACCACACGCGTGGGCCCTGGTTTCGCAGGAGGGAAGCCGGACGCGGGACCCCTACCCCGCACGACGGCACTCTGCCGGCTTGGATCCGCTTGTTCGGGTTTTGCTTTTTAAGAAACGATCGGAGCCCTGCGCTGTGGCGTAGCGGGTGAAGCCTCCACCAGCGACACGGGCTCGAGTCCCTGCTGCTTCGCCGAGCTGACCCCCGGGGGATGTGGGGGAGCTGACCCCGGGGAGATGTGGGGGAGCTGACCCCCGGGGGATGTGGGGCGGGGTCTGTCGCTGGTGGCCTAGCAGCTCCTTCTGAAACTCGGCTTGCAGATATATCTGCCGGCCCCAACCTGGTGCGCAAGGGGCCATTGGGCCTCCCACTCTCAAAGGGACTGGTGCCCCGGCCCCCGCTGAGCGGGCGGCTTGCCTGCTCCCACAGGCGGCGACCGAAGGGCCACACTGGCAGGAATCGTCCCTTGTTGGGAGCGACTGCCCTGCAGGAAGGCTGAGTGGGCAAGGCCAGGACAGATGACGGCTCAGAGGGGGCCTCTGGGGGTCCTGGGTGCCTGGGCCAGGGAAGGGGTCCCTCTTGTTGACACAGAGCTGCTTGGTGAATACCTGCTCACGGTGCCTACAGCTCCCAGGACCCCACCGCCAGCACGGGGCTGGAACACACGCAGGTCACACACAGACGTTTACTGCACGAGCGGAGACGCGGCCCCAGCGCAGGGCTGGGACACCACGCAGATACAAGCACGAAGGCTCCCAGCTGTGGGCGGCCGGAGGCGTTTCAGGGACAGAGAAGAGCAGGCGGACGGGATCAGACTAGGGACATTAGCCACGGCACCCAGACCACGGCCACGACACTGGCTGCTGCCAGTTGACCCCAGGGTGGGCCCCCAGGGTGCTGGGCCACTCCAGGAAGCGGTGAGCACTGGGCACAGGAGCGCCAGCCACACACCCAGGCCAGGAGCAGGTGCTACAGGCGGCCCCACGCCCGGCTCCCGCAGCCCAGGGCTCTGTCGCCCGGGGCGGGAGGGCATCTTCAATGCTGAGGCTGAGTGAGCGTTCCCCTGGACCTCGCCTGGGGGTGGCCACTGGGGTCAAGGTGAGGGTCACGTGCTCCTCCTTGGTTTGCTGGGAGGCACCCAGGAGACGGCAGCCGGGGGTGGGGCACGAGACTCACTCCCCCACCCCCGCAGCGGCCTCCCTCGGGAACCAAGGCCACGGCGCCGGCATAGTCCCATCTGCCTCTGCCCACCTCACTGTACAAAGGGGCGACCACATCTTGGAGTCCACGTGGGAAAGACATGCGGCCACGATGGGATAAAGTGCAGGTGCACCCGGCGTCCCCAACCTCTCCAGGAAGCAGTGGGTCCCCCAAGTCCCAGCTGCTGTGTGCACCGGGCCCAGCCGCTGTGGAGCAGGGGCTGAGCCCCCAGAAGTCAGGTTCCTGGGAGGCGGAGCTCAGGAAATGCTGGGCCCAGGGTCCCGTGCCCTCAGGTCCCCGGGCTGGGGATGCTGGGCCCAGGGTCCCGTGCCCTCAGGTCGCCGGGCTGGGGATGCTGGGCCCAGGGTCCCGTGCCCTCAGGTCCCCGGGCTGGGGATGCTGGGCCCAGGGTCCCGTGCCCTCAGGTCCCCGGGCTGGGGATGCTGGGCCCAGGGTCCCGTGCCCTCAGGTCCCCGGGCTGGGGATGCTGGGCCCAGGGTCCCGTGCCCTCAGGTCCCCGGGCTGGGGATGCTGGGCCCAGGGTCCCCTGCCGTCAGGCCCCCCCGGCTGAGGTTGTGCAGTGCCAGACCAGCGGTGGGGGCGCGGCCCAGGTGGAGTCCAGGCTGTTGCCGCGAGGGTTTCCTGCAGCAAGAACCCGGCGCCGGCTGAAGGCTCCGACGTTTCTCCCGGACCCTGTGAGCTGGAGCTGGCTCCCTGCAGCCGCTGTCACTTCCTGGGGCGCAGCAGGGGTGGCCGCTGCGCCTCCGGACCCCAGGGCCCCGTCTGGGACGGAGCTGCAGGCGCCGCGGGGGTCTCACCAGCTGGGGGGTCCTCAGGATCTGCTGACAGCCTGAAGACAGCAGGACCTGAGGGAGGCAGGGCGGGAGCTCTGGCACACAGGGGAACCACGCAGCCGCGTCCTGCGCGCTCTGCCCACACACGTGAGGCCCAGCACGAGCCCCGCGCTTCTATGGCGCCTGTGTGTAGCCTGCCCAGCACCCCGCTTAGCTGCGCTAGGTCTGAGCTTTATCTTTATAAATAGAGATTTTATGTATTTGAGAGGCAAAGTTATGGCCAGAAAGGGAGATGGAGAGGGGTAGGAGAGGTCTTCTATCCACTGGTTCACTCCCCAGATGGCCACGATGGCTGGAGCTGGGCTGACCTGAAGCCAGGAGCTTCCTCCGGGTCTCCCACGCAGGTGCAGGGGCCCAAGGACTTGGGCCATCTTCTACTGCTTTCCCAGGCCACAGCAGAGAGCTGGATCGGAAGTGGAGCAGCCAGGACTCGAACCTGCACCCATATGGGATGTCAGCGCTGCAGGCGGCGGTTTAGCTCATTAGCCACCACACTGGCCCCTGCATTGACTCTAACTTTGGGGGACAGTTTATGTCTTTATTAAGTTTTAGGGCTTTCTACCAATGAAATACCTATGTCTCATTTATGTAATTGAAATTCCGAGGCCTGGGGCCGAGCCTTCACCTCCGCTCCTCCCATGGGCCTGGGAGCGGCAGATGGAGTTCCAGGCTCCTGGCCCAGCCCCGTGCCTCCTGGTCCCTGAGCCTAAGGCGGCTCACACGGGGCCCGCCTCACTCTGAATGGCCACCTGCCTCCTGCTCACTGTCCGTCCTCTCACCGGCATCAGCCGCAATAACCCGGAAGATGGTTTACCCAATCCCTCCTGTTCACCGCGCTCTTCCTGTGGCCCTGATGCCGGTGCGCGGAGTCACCCGCAGGGGCAGGGCGAGCAGGGTATCGCCGGCTGTAACAATCTGTCACTCTAAGGGGCCGGAGCTCAGGTCTCGACGCTGGGCTCAGGGCACCAGACCGGCTGCGGGCTAGCCGGGCGGTTTGTCCACCTTCTGTTGCCGCCGAGGTGGCGTCCTGGCCGTCAGGCTGTTGGCCACTGCACGCCCGTGAATGGCCACGTGATCCTGAGGGCACCGAATCACAGCAGGAGCTCACATTTGGGGGTTCAGACACCACCGTGGAGGGCCTGGATTCGCGTTCTGACTCCACTTCTGAGCCAGCGTCCTGCTGTGCACCGGGAGGCAGCAGGACTGGGGTCCCTGCCACCGTGTGGCTGGTGGCTCTGGCCTGGCCCAGCCCTGGCCACTGTGGGCGTTTGGGAGTGAACCAGTGGATGGAGGATTTCTCTCCGCCTGTCTGTTCTTGTCTCTGCCTTTCAAATAAAACAAGAGCTAGCATCTGTGGGACCCTGGGTGTGAGCCTGCTGGGTCACCCACTCCTCGCGGCCCTGTGGAGGCCCTGCCGGCACCCCGGCCACACCGGGGACACTGAGGCACAGTGCCAAGGGGGCCAAGCGGGTGACCTGTGACAAGAGCTCCCTTTGCACTCCCCACGCCTTCCCCGGCCACCAAGGACGGCAGATGATAGCGCTGCCCGCCCTCCTGGCAGCTGGCGAGGACCGGGCCACTTACCTGCCGCCAGCCACGCTGCGGCGTCCAGGCCGGGGCTCGGTCCCCCTTCTGCAGCCGGGAGCCTGTCCCGTGAGCCCTGCGTGGAAGAGAGGTTCATGGGGCTTCTGCGGCAACCCACACAGGAGACAGCTGCGAGCTGTGCTAGGTTACGGCTCAGGCAGCGCTGGTCCACTGGGCAGGCGCCGAGACACTCCCACACTGGCATTAGGCTGTCCCAGCAGGCCATGCGCTGGGCTGGCTCGGCACGTTGTAACCATCAGCAGTTCTGTGACGGTGAGCACCAGGCAGGCTCTGACACAATGACCTTCTCCACCCCACCCCACCCCCAGCCTAGGTCTGCCCCCACCGCTCATCCCAGCACCTCCCACCTGCAAAGTTCTCAACCAAGCGGGAACCCAGGGAAGGAACGAACCCGAGCGTCCTAGCGGGCGGCACAAACGCCTGGCTTTCTGCTTCCGAGTCCATCCCTCGGTGGGCAGGTGGTCTCGGGTGGGCTTATTTCCCACTCATGGGGGCCCTGGGTGGAGCTCCTGGCTTTGACCTGGCCCAGTCCTGGCTGTTGCCGCCATTTGGGAAGTGACCCAGCAGATGGAAGATCGGTATCTCCTCTTTCTGCCTTTCGCGTAACTGTTTAAAACCGTAACAGCAGTAGCAGCAACAACAGTGCTAAGACTAAAAGAACGTTCACCCTGCCCTGAGAGTGTCCGGCAGCCTGCAGCCCGGCCAGCCCGGCCAAGCACACACCTGTGTGACCTCAGTAATGAGGGCGGGGCAGGGCAGGGCGGGCAGGCACGAGCTGACCCACGGCCACCTGTGGACAGTCCTGCTGCAGGCCGGCCAGAGGCCCCAGCGTTCGTCCTGGGCTCACTCCCCGTGGGCGGGGCGTCACACTGGCAGATGCCTGTGGCTGAACGACCCCCACCAACACCCCAAGCTCCGTTTCGGGCCTGGGAGGCCCCCTGCCTGCCCAGTGCTCTGCCCGAGCAGGAGCAGCGTGGTCTGGGTTCACCTGTGGCACCAGGCGCCTCCAGGTGCGGCCTGGTACTGACCACAGCCCCGGGAGCCCGTAGCAGCACAGGGCGCAGGCGTGAGCGCCATGGGGACCCCAGGCCCACCAGATGTGGGAGGGGGCAGCTCTCTTAGAGGCCACAGAGGCTGCGGGCTTCAAGGCTCCTGTCTCACAGGATTGGGAGTTGGCTGCCCCCTAAGCCCGGGGGCCTCCAGTGTGCCAGGTGGAACACCCAACATTCCCGACAAAGACCAGCAGGACCCCAGCAAGCTGACCACAGCCAGGCCAGGCAGGCTCTCTGTGCTGGGCGGGGACACCCCGAGCTGACCACAGCCAGGCCAGGCAGGCTCTCTAGAGCGCTGGGCAGGGACACCCCGAGCTGACCACAGCCAGGCCAGGCAGGCTCTCTGTGCTGGGTGGGGACACCCCGAGCTGACCACCTGGCCACGGCAGGTGACAAGCTGGGCTCTGGGGAGGCTGAACTCCCTGGAGGCTGTCATTTGCTTCTGGGACCCAGGCAAGTTTTACTGTCTAGTTGGAGGTTACTGTGTGTCCTGGGGGGAGGGAAGCAGCAGTCGCGTTCCCGATTCACCTGTACTCCCCTCTGGAAAATGGGCACAAGAGGGGCCAGGAGCCTCCCTCCAAGACTGCCGCTGGCCATGGCCGGGCTCCTGGGCTGGGGGGCCATGTGAGCTTTGCTGTGGGCCCCGGGACGGGCGGGGGCCCTGTGGGGACGGCTGTGCTGGGTGTTGTCCCCGCGGGGGAGGTGCTGCAGGGTCACAGTGTCTAGAGGCTGCGACACTCAGGATCTGTGAACCCAGTATCGCACCGCACAGGAAGCCGGCTCCTCTCGCCAGCTGGGGCGCCTCCCCGCCCCCCGGCACCGCTGCTTGATGGCCAGGCCCACCTCGGCACTTCACCCAAGCCTAAGGCCACTGTTGGCCTTTTGGGTACCAACAGTAGCCCGCAGGGGCAGCGGTTCCCTTCCTGGCTGCTTCACCTCAGGCCCTGCACCCACGTGGGAGACCTGGATAAGGTGGCTCCTGCGTCCGGCCTGGCCCAGCCCTGGGCATGGCCGCCATCTGGGAAGTACCAGCGGATGAAGCCCTCGCTCCGTCTCCTGGAGCCTGCGCTGTAACTCTTTAAACAAATCTCTAACAAAGTGAAGTCAAAGCCACCCTACCTCCAGGTGGGTGACGTCACCTTGCTTCCCTGCTACACGCCACAGCCCACAGTCACGGGACCCCATCCAGACCACCTCGGTGGGCGGGGCCGTGGTGAGGTGCACCCGGGGTCGGGCGCATGGAGGGCTGTTATGGGACCCCAATCAGACCACCTCGGTGGTGAGGTGCACCTGGGTTTGGGCACATGGAGGGCGCTCACCTGCGTGGAGGGCTGCTCTAGGGGCAGGTGCCCACTGCCCGTCTGCAGGGCAGGGGGAGGCAGGTGGAAGCTGCTAGCCGAGCCTGGGACCCCCGCACGTGGCCGGGCCACAGATCTCCCAGCAGCAGTGTCAAGGCCTTGAGGAGCCCGTGTTCCAAGTGGTCCACCCAGGAAGCCAGGCCGCCCACCTGGGATGATGGCCAGGTCTGGCACACAGCTGAGCCCGGGGACTGGCGCACGGGCCAGAGGACTGAGCTCAGGATGGTCACTAAGGCCAGCTGAACGGGGCCCCCGAAGCTGGCCCAAGAGCGGGTCCCCAGCGCCAGCCAGGCCACACGGGGCGGACACTGGAACATGCAGAGCTGAGCGTCCGGGGGCCGGGCCTTCGAAGGGAGGTGGAAGGGCTGGGTGTTCCTGGGCACCCCACGCGGTCCCGGGCGGCAGCAGCTGGGCCGAGCCTCCGGCGACATGGCACGGCGCGGAGGGCGCCCCCTGGCGGTGAGCCGGCTCAGTGCTTCTTGCGGAGGTGCGGGTGGCGTTTGCGGTGGCGGATGAGGCAGGAGCTGTAGGCGAAGGTCCGGCCGCACTCCTCGCACGCGTAGGGCCGCTCCCCGGTGTGCGTCTTCTGGTGTTTCAGGAGGTTGGAGCCGCAGTTGAAGGCGCGGCCGCACTGGCCGCACGGGAACGGCTTCTCGCCGGTGTGCACGCGCTGGTGCTTGGTGACGTCCGAGCTGTGCCGGAAGCGCTTGCCGCACTGGCCGCACGGGAACGGCTTCTCGCCGGTGTGCACGCGCTGGTGGCGCGCGTGGTCCGTCTTGTGCTTGAAGACGCGCCCGCACTCGCCGCACTCGTAGGGCTTCTTCCTCTGGAACGGCACGAACACGGGGACGCCCTGAAAGTCATCCTGGAAGGACGCGTCGAAGGCGGCGAACAGCAGCTCCTCGTCCTCGGGGCTCAGGGGCGGCTGCGCGCGGCGCCTACGGCCCGCGGGCGCCCTGCTGGGCTGCGGCTCCGCCGCCGCGGGGGCCTTCTCCCCGATCTGGCCGGCGCCCGCCTCCTCCGGGGCCGGGGGCTTCCCTCTGCGGCCCGCAGGCCCGTCCATGGCGCCCTGGTCCCACGGCCTCTCCCGCTCAGCTCCGGACGCGTGGCTCCGGCTCCGCACCGAGCACCGTCTGCGGGGAGAAGCAGGAGCGGGAGGTTTGCGGCAGACTCCCGCGAGCCCCCGGCCCAGCCCCTCCAGCCCTGGGTGCCCCCGCCCCCGCAGCAAGGGCCCTGCGGCCTCCCCCCCAGTCCTGGGCGCCCCACTCCCGCCAGGCCCAGCCCTCGCCCTGGGCGAAGTTTCTGGATGCTTCCTCCTGCACCGTGCTCTGTGACAGCCTGGCTAAAACACCGGGGGTTGTCACCGGGGACGGGCTGCTGCAGACCCCGGCCCCCTCCCGTCTCCGTGCGCGATCGCACCCCGCGGCATCCCAACCGCCCCGCAGACTCAGTCCTGCTGGGCATCGCCGCCTCCTCCCCGCCCCCAGCCCCGGGAGCTGCGGGCGGGCGGAGCGAACCCCGCGCGCGGGGCGGCCTCACGACCCGCGGCCACTCACGCTGTCCCGACGGCCGCCTCCCCCGCACACGGCGCCTCGGGACACGACTCCCCACATCCTCCGCGCGCGGAGAAGCGAGCCCGCCGGGACCGAGCCGCCCCGGGCCGGCGGGGGTGCGCGTCAGCACCAGGCCCGCCTCACGAGCCCGGTCTCCCGGCCACGCCGCACGCCGCAGCCCGCGGGGCACGGTCCATCGCGCCGCGCGCCGCCTCGCCCTCCGCCGCACCTGTAGGAGGACGGCGCGGGACGGGGATGCGCGCTCTCCCCGCCCCGGCCCCGCAGCCCGCGGGAACGGCCCGCCCCTTCCGGCGCCGCTCTAGCAGCCAAGCCCACCCTCTCGGTGGTGGTGCCTCGGGAGAGCTCAGTCCGGATACGCTCCGCCCACCGGCCCGATCCTCCTCGCCACGCCCCTTCCGGCGACACTCTAGCAGCGGCCTCGGCTGTGTCGGTGGTGGCGAGGCTTCGCTGGCGCCTGTTGGCGAGGCTGCGGCCGCTGCGTGGGCGGCCTGCGTGGAGGGCGCTCCCCGCCACTCTTTGTCCTGAGCCCGCCCGGGGGACTGTGCCGGACGCCCTGAAAATGTAGTCGAAGCGTTCAGCCCCTTGCCACGAGTGTCCTCGGGGGCACCGCGTGACCGCGAGGGGGCTCGAGACCGAACGTCTCGCGCGTGGGCCGCGGCTCCCTGGACCTGGGGGCTGAGGGAGCCTCTCCGGCGTCTACCCGGGCCTCCCAACACCGCCGGTGCCGAGACGGCCCCGGCAGGGTGGGGTGGTCCCAGGCTGACAGCCGACTGGGGCCGCTGGGCCGGGGTGTGCCCCCCACTCGTGGACACCCGGCCCTTCGTGCACCCCAGGGACTGTGTGAGAGAAGGGGCCCAGGCCCTTGCCACGCGTCTCGAGAGGGAATTCTCGGTGCTGGCGTCTATAAATTGCATTCAGGCGCTAGGAAAGCTGCACACACACGTGAGCGGCGGAGGGGAAGTGGACAGAGAGGGCCTCTTGCTCCCCCAGGGCCCAGGTGAAGTTTGATTGACAAGTGATTGACAAGTGCACGTCGGGGCGTGGCTTCCAGGTACCTGCAGCTCCGATGTACCTGCTAGCTCCCTGCCTGATCCGCTGTGGCTCCCGCAGAGCCTTGGAGCGTGAGGGTGGCCGCCACCTGCAGGGGTCACCGCTGCCTCCCCGTGCCTGGGCCTGGCCCCTGCAGGCGGCGGGAGGCGTGGCTGTCTCTGGGCGTGGCCCTGCAGGCAGCGGGAGGCGTGGCTCTCTCTGGGCCTGGCCCCTGCAGGCGGCGGGAGGCGTGGCTGTCTCTGGGCGTGGCCCTGCAGGCGGCGGGAGGCGTGGCTGTCTCTGGGCGTGGCCCTGCAGGCGGCGGGAGGCGTGGCTCTCTCTGGGCGTGGCCCTGCAGGCAGCGGGAGGCGTGGCTATCTCGGGGCGTGGCCCTGCAGGCAGCAGGAGGCGTGGCTGTCTCTGGGCGTGGCCCCTGCAGGCGGCGGGAGGCGTGGCTGTCTCTGGGCGTGGCCCTGCAGGCGGCGGGAGGCGTGGCTCTCTCTGGGCGTGGCCCCTGCAGGCAGCCGCAGGTGCGGCTGTCTCTGCTGGCTTGGACGTGGCGCCCACAGGTGGGAGACAGCAGGCGGGTTTCCCGCTCTGGGCGACAGCAGTCCATGCGTGCGACCCCATACAGCGCGATGCTTGACGCCTCACACCGCGTTCCTCCTCCCTGGGGTCCTCCCTCGGTGCCCCCCGCCCCAGCTCTGAGATTCCCGGACAGCCTGGGAAGCCATGTGGAGAACATTCCAGGCTCCCGGCCAGGGGCTTCCCTCTGGCATGGACTGCAGCCGACTGTGAGGCTGCTGGCACCTGCTGCCCCTACTCCCCATAAGCGTCCAGTGAGCTTGCCATAGGTGACAGCCAGGGAGGTCCACCCGGTGTCCCCGGCGTGTCCTCTGCCCAAGCTGCACCAGGGGCGCACTTCACAGAGGCTGGACAGCTCACAGGGGAGGAGGGGACGTCAGGCACACTGGCAGTCTGGCACCTGTCGGTGTAGCCTCCTGTGGGAGCCCCGCGATGTGCACGTACCGCTGGGACCCTGGCCCCCTTGGCCGGTCCCCCACTGAAGGACACCTGGCCCCCACTTGGGGCTGTACCAGGAGAGCTGCTGTGAACGATGCTGTGGGGGTGTGTGGTGTCCAGGTCTGGGGGTGTGTAGTCCAGGTCTGGGGGGTGTAGTCCAGGTCTGGGTGTGTGTGTAGTGTCCAGGTCTGGGTGTGTGTAGTCCAGGTCTGGGTGTGTAGTGTCCAGGTCTGGGGGTGTGTAGTCCAGGTCTGGGTGTGTGTAGTGTCCAGGTCTGGGGGTGTGTAGTGTCCAGGTCTGGGGGTTTTTAGTGTCCAGGTCTGGGGGTGTGTAGTGTCCAGGTCTGGGGTGTGTGTAGTTCCAGGTCTGGGGTGTGTAGTCCACGTCTGGGGGGTGTGTAGTCCACGTCTGGGGTGTTTTGTAGTCTCCAGGTCTATGGGGGTGGGGCCAGGGGCGGGGGTGGGGCCAGGGGCGGGGCCGGGGGAGGCCCGTCCGCACTGGCTCTCAGTACGGGCAGGCAGTTTTTCTTAACCTACGTTACAAATCTTTTTTATTTGATAGGCAGAAACAGAGGCCGTCCATCTGCTGCTTTGCTCCCCAAATGCCCACAGCAGCCAGGACCAGATCAAGCTGAAGCCACGAGACTTGAACTCCATCAGGTCTCCCCCATGGCTGGCAGAGACCGATGTGCTTGGGCGGCTTGAGCAGGGAGCTGGGTGGGTAGAGGAGCAGGAATGGCTCCCGGCACTGCCGACTGCGATGCAGGCATCCGTCCCAAGCCTCGGCCACTTCACCAAATGCCCCCCCCCCGTCGGTGTTTCTGGCTGCAGCCCTCATGTAGGCGTGCGGTGCCGTGTCCCTGCACCATCGGGCCCCTGCACACGCAGCCTCCTGGCGAGGCGTCTCTGGCGCCGTTGCTCCCTGGGGGAGGGGCCGGCTGGGAACGCCTCTGTCCCCTGGGTCTTCTCCCAGTCTGTGCTTTGTCCCCTCACTGGTCACCAGCCAGGCGTTCCTGAGCAGCTCTCTTCCCCGGGACGGCCCCCTCGGCCCCTTCGTGGCATTTCCTGGCTGGGCTTTCCCACCCCGGTGCTCTGACGCCATCTTCCATGACATGGAGCCGCTGGTGCCTGTTCCAGAAAGTTCCCGAGCCCGGGCATGGCCGTCCCCTGCCTCGAGTGCCGCTGCCCTGTCCCCAGGTCTGAGGGCTTCTGCAAAGCCTGGGGGTGCAGGAGGGCCCCACCCAGTGGCCGAGTCCACATCCTCAGGGATTTCCTGCTGGGCTGCCGGCCCCCCAGGTCCAGAACACGGAGCAGGAAGCCACAGACACCTGCTTCCCTCGGGAGAGGCGGAAATCCCCAGGAAACCAGCTGGCCGGTCAGCCCCTGGCCTTTGTGGCCTTCCCTGGGGGACACGTGGAAGAGCAGGTGGTCCCGAGGCTGGAGGGGCGCAGCCCTCGGGTCTGGGTTGGGGGAGGGTGCCCCCCTGGAGCTGTCCAGGGTCCCAAGGAAGGTCGCAGACTAGGCAGGGTCTCTCCCCAAACCGGTCCAGGCCCAGCCCCGCCTCCAGCTGTCAGGCCACTGAGGGCCCTGGGCGAGGTGGGGACACAGTGTCCTCCCCGGGCTTGCTCCCAGCGCCAGGGCAGTGCGGACGTGGGCTGACTGTGCTGGCTTGGGAGGGGGTCACTTGGAGCTGGCTGGGTGGGAGGGACAGGGAAAGGAGCAGGTCAGGGCCAACCTAGGCCAAGCGAAACACCCGGGCGAGGTCCAAGCCGGGCCCAGGGGGTAAGGTCGCGGCCAGGTGGCCAGTGTCCACACTGCTCGGCTGGTAGGCCTCACTGCTGTCCGTCCTGGTGGACGAGGGGGGCTGTGTGCCGAGATCGTGGCGCAGGCCTGCCGGGCTCTCAGCCCTGGGTCGCACGGGTCCCTGGGTCTCACGGGTCCTGGGTCACATGGCCCTGGGTCGCACGGGCCCTAGGTCGCTCGGGTCCCTGGGTCACATGGCCCTGGGTCGCACGGGCCCCGGGTCGCACGGGTCCCTGGGTCACATGGCCCTGGGTCGCACGGGTCCCTGGGTCGCACGGGTCCCTGGGTCACATGGCCCTGGGTCGCACGGGTCCCTGGGTCACATGGCCCTGGGTCGCACGGGCCCTGGGTCGCTCGGGTCCCTGGGTCACATGCCCTGGGTCGCACGGGTCCCTGGGTCACATGGCCCTGGGTCGCACGGGCCCTGGGTCGCTCGGGTCCCTGGGTCACATGGCCCTGGGTCGCACGGGTCCCTGGGTCACATGGCCCTCAGTCGCATGGGCCCTGGGTTGCACGGGTCCCTGGGTCGCACGGGCCCCGGGTTGCACGGGTCCCTGGGTCACATGGCCCTGGGTCGCACGGGCCCTAGGTCGCTCGGGTGCCTGGGTCACATGGCCCTGGGTCGCACGGGTCCCTGGGTCACATGGCCCTGGGTCGCACGAGCCCTAGGTCGCTCGGGTCCCTGGGTCACATGGCCCTGGGTCGCACGGGTCCCTGGGTCGCACGGGTCCCTGGGTCACATGGCCCTCAGTCGCACGGGCCCTGGGTTGCACGGGTCCCTGGGTCGCACGGGTCCCTGGGTCACATGGCCCTGGGTCGCACGGGCCCTGGGTCGCACGGGTCCCTGGGTCACATGGCCCTGGGTCGCACGGGCCCCGGGTCGCACGGGTCCCTGGTCACATGGCCCTGGGTCGCACGGGTCCCTGGGTCGCACGGGCCCTGGGTCGCACGGGTCCCTGGGTCACATGGCCCTGGGTCGCACGGGCCCCGGGTCGCACGGGTCCCTGGGTCACATGGCCCTGGGTCGCACGGGTCCCTGGGTCGCACGGGCCCTGGGTCGCACGGGTCCCTGGGTCACATGGCCCTGGGTCGCACGGGCCTCGGGTTGCATGGGTCCCTGGGTCACATGGCCCTAGGTCGCACGGGTCCTGGGTCACATGGCCCTGGGTCGCACGGGCCCCGGGGTCGCACGGGCCCCGGGTCGCACGGGTCCTGGGTCACATGGCCCTGGGTCGCACGGGCCCCGGGGTCGCACGGGCCCCGGGTCGCACGGGTCCCTGGGTCACATGGCCCTGGGTCGCACGGGCCCCGGGTTGCACGGGTCCCTGGGTCACATGGCCCTGGGTCGCACGGGCCCCAGGTCGCACGGGTCCCTGGGTCACATGGCCCTGGGTCGCACGGGCCCCGGGTCGCACGGGTCCCTGGGTC